CACCCACCCACCCGCAGATAATAGGAAGATGCCCAACGCAAGGGCGGTTAGTGCAGCCGCCCCTCAAACGTTTTGGCATTTGATCGTTTGAATATTATGATGTCCACCAATGAATCCCCTTTGCGCATTCATGAGGTTCATCCAGTACCATCTGGTTCATGTGGGAGAGACACGTTGGTGGATCCAGTCAAACAACTGGGGACTCACTCATTTTCTCATGTGAGTCACAATATCAACCCGGGTAGACGAAGGTTAGTAAGGGACAGTCCCAGCCAGAATTAGGTGCGGCCACCTTTGCACGTTTTTGGAATTAGGACCATTTTGATACCGATCAGTTTGACTATGACTCAAATGCGGCCCCCGATCATTGTTATCAATGTGGCATCCTAAGATGCATACTCGTGGTATTCTACCCGGGAGCGGATCCGGTCAAAAAACCCGGAGACTCATCTCGTTTTCTTTCCGGCCACCGCTCGCGCCCGGGATTTTTCGCAGGTGGCGACGGGCCAAGAGAAGTACTTTGAGGAGGGGAGCGTTGCGACGCCGGCTGACTGGCAATGGCTGGGGAGCGTTGCGACGCCGGCTGACTGGCAATGGCTGGGGGGCGATTTCAATGGATCCGGACCAGTTGGTTCAGGGGGGCTGGGGGGAGGGAGCCCAAATAAGGCCTGCCCTCCCCCCCAGCCCATGTGGATATGAAGTTCGGTGGGGATTCAGGTAACCACCGGAACCACTTTTGAGGTGGTTCCAACCCTTGAAATTCGTAGCCATATGATGGGCCAGACGATGATCCTTATCCACATTTTTTGTATGAACATTCCTTGGGTTTCAAGTACCCCATAGCCCCGGTCGGATTGGACAGACCCAAGCAGCTTTTCCGCGGTTGGCAGCGTACGGCTCCTTTGCGCGCTGACCTTAGCGCTGACCTTTCACGATCCCCTTGAGAAGGATGGCTTCCATAATTTTCGGACTCATGACATTTTTGCTGCAGTGGAAAGTGACAAAAAGCCATCTGAAGAGAAGAGCACAAAGCAGACACTTTGTCCAAGCAGAGCCTGAACTACCCATTGCTGCTGACAACCAGTCTAGAACACCTGCCACCACAGCACATCAGCAAGACAGTCATATTTTCCCATTGCACTCTTCAACCATAGAAATCGTTGCCGGAACATTGCCAGAGTAAGACTTTTCAAAAGAACCATTGCCTTGCAGCTGAAGTTGTCGGTTTGACACCCCTCTGAGTACGCGGTGGGCGGACGTTTTGGCCTACCTTGCTTCTGCCTCAAGCTCCTCCCGGGCCAAAGAGGGGAACATTTACTATGCGGCCTCATTGCAGGGCCCTGGGCAGCGAACATGGCGTTTGAGTTTGTTGGCCTTTCGGTTCCCACCACTGAGGAAATCAGGACCCTTCAAGCGGTGTTTGTAGCTGCGTGCATATAGTGTGACGAGCCGCCTGGTGTCACGCGGCGCGCTTCCGGAGCCTTTTGCCTTGAGATGCTTACCATCACCGCCGTGTTGCGTCTGAGGGAGGCGTCTTTGGGTCTGACAGCAGAGTTGCCTCGGAAGGAAGATCCGCCACAGGTGCCTCAAAGCTCCGGCGCTTTTGAAAGTGGGGGCATGGCTATGTCGTCAGTCGCCTTGATGGAATCGTTGGGGTGCCTAAGGAGTTGCGACAGACCGTCGCGGCAGCACCGTGCCTTCTGGCCCTTTATGGCAGCACACAGCGCGTCCTCACAGACCTTCATTCACAAGTTCGAAGCCCCCTAGGCGAGTCGGTGAAGAAATCAGGCCCCAAAAAGTCCTCAGACCAGTGAAGGGGTTTGACCCCACTAATCCTCACAAATGCTAAACACAAACAGTGGCATCTTCATAAAGAGGCAAACACCTCGAAGAATTGGTGGTAGGTGAAGGGATATGGTCCCCATCAATCCCCAATCCCAAATCATGCTGAACAAAACACACACAGCAACTTTTATAAAGAGGAACCCCAAAATAGTTGGCTTATTGTAAACGCTTCGCGTTGCCCGCCTCGGCCAGTCCGCTTTTGGCTGGCTTTGAGGTTTGTACTGTGCTTCAGTTTGCCTTGAAGTGATGTTATTAAAGTGAGTGAGTCGGCGCCGAAATGCGTGAGCTGGTTTCCAAGCTAGCGGGTGGGCGCATGTCTGCACGATTCCACCTGGCTTCAAGGGCCAGACCGAGAGCTGCAGAGAGCTGCAGAATGGTGGGCCAAGCGCAGGTCCAAATTTCCAGGGTATTGGACGGCTTTTTTCTTTGGGATTTTGACGGTTTCTAGGGGGATTTGACGGGAGTTGGACCTGCTTTCAGAGGGGATTTGAAAGGTTTCTAGAAGCGAGTTCGGCTGGTTTCTACGGTTTGAAAGGGGAGTTTAACTGGCTTCGGAAGGGGAATTTGACCAGTTTTAACGGGAATTTGGCCGGTTTCTAGGGGGATTTGACCGCAGCAGCTTTGAGGGGAGGAAGTTGAGCGGTTTCCAGCAAGATTTGACCGGAGCCAGATGGGAAGTTGGCCGGCTTCCATCGGCTTCTGGAAGGGGATTTGACCAGAGTTTCTACGGTGTTTTAGGGGATTTGATGAATTGGACAGGAGGGATTTGCGGGGTGGATCACAAAGAATCTGCCTGAAGTTGAAGGGTGCTTCCAGGCTCACTTCAGGCGGACTGGAGGCAGCTGGAGGATTTTGGCCGCGGGGTTGGGGGGGGGGGGGCTGAAGGCCGAAACGACGCTGAGCAAGCCAAAGCAAAATCTCAGAAGGGGCAAACACCCAGAATATCAAATCACCAATCCAAAGCGCAGTTGGAATAAAGTTGCATCAAAAGCCAAAGCAACTCGGCCAGGACTTCGACATTGTAGCAGACTGCTCTGGCTTCTACGACCGGGACCTTTGCAACTGGGCAGCTTGTTTGCAAGCCTTTCAAGCGGGGGATTCCAGGCGGGTCTTGTATGGAACGGACCTTCAAAATGATGGTTTCCCCTTTGGTTCCATTTGAACTGAGCCCACAAAGAATAATTGTCAAACAAAGACGAGCCGCGTAGTTTCCTTCCCATCGGGTGACTCGTTGGAGTGCTTCAAACAAATCCGGAAGGGGAAGAAGTGCGAAGCAGTTCCTTCCGGTTGCAAGGCCCTTGGGTTCGAACAGCTGGACCGAATCTCGACTCTTTGGTTGGCGCTTCTCACCTTTCAATTCGCGGAGTGATGTGTACCGATTTTGAGGCTTGAGTGAGATTTGGGTGGGGTGCTGTGAAGCGCAGCGTTGCTCAACAATACTTGATCATACATTTTGGCGCGCTTGACTATCCCCTTTACCAGCAGATTTGGAGGACCCGCGGGGGATGTTGGATGTGTCTTTTGGGGACCCCCAGAAAGGGAGGTAGCATGCAACACGCTGATGGAGTTGCAGAAGACATGAAGGCCAGTTCGGGAAATCGCCAGCTAGGAGCCTCGATGCCGGTGTATATATACATATATGATCATATATGTGTATAGATTATGCACACATAGAGAATTCATGGGCACATGCATCATGTACGTTGCCAACGCAAAAGATCCAGACTTGGCATGGCGCCTCACTGTAACTTTGAAGACCGAGGTGATAAACGCAACAGGCGAGCGCCATTAAAGTAAAGGTTGATCCCTCGTGTTTAGTCACCGGTAGTGCTCGTACTTTGTTCTTCCGAACTTGGCTGGACACGAACAATGAACCTGTAAGGTTTATGCTCCATTATTTTACCCGTCACTCTTCCGAACAAAGCGTGGCCAATGTTCCTCGTTTTTGGAACATGATTGAAGAGAAGGATTGGTAGAGCTTAAATCTGGGCGACGCGGACGAAGATGCGACTGCCAAGTTGGAAAGACACATTTGACGAACTTAAGCGCAGCGGTAACGGCAACGATTAAGCCAAGCTGGCTTGTGGTTTCGAGACTTTAGTGCAGGACTGAAGCACTTAGGGCTCAGGGCTGGGTTGCGAGCCTCCAATAGCAGATCGCAACTGTCAGCAGCGGGTGAACTGCTGCTCGCGGTGTATCATATTCCCGAGCCGCCAGGAATGGCCCTCACGGCAAGGGTGTCCTTTTGTTTTTTGCCTAGAATTAGGTGCCCTAGTTTTGGCACAATGTCTTGAGAGCGGGTGACACATATCTTGAAAGGGTTGATGCCCCGTCTGATTGAACAGCCCTTTTTTCTCAAAAACCAGTCCTCTTTCTTTTTTTCTTTTTGTTCAATGGGAATCACCAAACAAATGGTTACCTTGAATCTCCCACTGAAAAATGGACTCTCGGAAAAGCTTGGGTGTATCCCATCCGAACAAGCCACAGATGCAACTCAGCGAGCCCCTTTCTGGTGATTGTCGGAAGCTTGCAGTCTTTTGGGCATCGGAGGGTCCCTCTTTGAGCGTGCAAATCTAGTTGGGTACAATTTTATGTTTGGGTCCGCCAAAGGGACATCCTCACAATTTCCTGTTTACAGCCAACGTGTTCACCTTCAAACAAACCGGCAAACTCTTGCGCTTTCGAACCGTGCGAATGCCCTGATTCAGTGCTCAAACCGGGGCTTTGGAACGTGTCCCCTCAAAAATGTGTGCCTAGTCTCCTGGGAACTTCCCATTTTCAGAGATCAATTGGGGTTGGGGGCCCATTGTTTAGACAACACCCTCAACAATGGTTGGTGGATCAGACATCCCATCCAAACAATGCCACCCAACTGAAGGACAAAACCCGCTTCGCACCCGTAGGTGGTTTATCCGGCATTATTGAAGCCGGGTTGTATCCAAACAGACCTCCTCTAATAACCAAATAGCAATTTTCCTTTCTGTCGTACATATTTCCATGGAAAGACCTCTATTCTTTATCTTTTCCCAGTTGCCCAGTCAGTGGTGCCCTTTTCTCCTTTTTGGGAAGTTTCCCTTTAAAGTCAACCGACCAAAAAAGGATATTCTGAGTTTTTCTGCTACGGATTACCTCCATCCCCAGTTCTTGTAGCGGGTTTGTGGATCCGTTGGCTTCCAAGGTGGGCAAGGGCGGGCTGCCAGCGCTGGGCGAACGCGCCGGAGGGCCCAGAAATGGTCCAAGCGGTTCTGTTTGTTGGCCATCCCCAAAACATGCTTAAACGGGGGGGGGGGGGGGGGGTGGGGGTCCGCTTGTTTCTCATCCCATCCCGCTTGAACTAAAGGTGTTTTCTTTACTGGAATGCGTGCACTGCAGGGGTTTCGTGTCCTTTTGGACCTTCCAAACAAATGATAGGACTCTGCTGAAAAGGCTGGTTTTCTTTGCACACGGTCTTGTTCTAAAGACGTGCCCGTTTCCGAAAGGAGTAGTCTTCTGCGGGGGTTTTTGCACCAAACCATGTTGGTGGGGGTGTACCACTTGTTTGTGTCTTATAAGAAGACGCACCCATACACAGAGAGGAACATAGTTGGGTAGAAAGCTTTTAGACATCTTTTTCGCGCAGTTTAGTTTTTGCGACAGGACAGCCGGTTTAGCGGTGCCAACAGCAGCAGCCGCCGCGTGTTGTGGGGGCAGTCTTCCGGGCTCCCTCGGACCCATGGGTGTGGACAATTGGGTTTTGGGAGGGCCATTCTGTGATAGCAAGCATCCCCTGTAAAGTGACAAAGTAGATCATGGCCATCAACCACGCCAGGCATCTCGGCCTTCATTTGCTTCCCCTGAGAGGTTTCCCTTCAAACCGCCCAAGCCCAGTGCTTTGCCGCCACCCACGTCCTCCCGCGGCTTGCCGGCGCCGGGCTCGCTCCGCGCAGGCGCTGCGCCGCGCCGGGCGGCTGTGGACCGCCATCCCCCACGTCCTGGGCCAGGACCGCGGCCGCTTCGCAAAGCGGAAGGCCATGGCGTGGAGCCCAAGGCAGACTGGCGCGGCGCGGCGCCGTTTTTTGGTTTTGGCTGTTGAGTTGGTAACCCGTCTTGTGGTGGTTTTAAAGGGGAAACCAAAAGGAAGGCCAGTTTTCGGCGTCTTACTTTTTGAGACACGTCCAGTTTAAAAGGATCGGACTGGTACCCGCCCTTGAACCTTTAGCTTGCAACCTCAGCCTGAATCCTTAAACCTCATCAACTTTTAGGCTTTGGCTGGCCAGCTAACTAGCGAAAGGCGCGACATTCTTTTGCAGTGGTCGGTTGGACCACCCCAGACCCATTGAAAACTCCAGCTGAACGGTATAGCGTTGACTTCATCCATTGTAGCAAGGGGACAGCATACACATGGATGTTCAAGGGAAACCACAACCCCTTTGGCCTTTAATCTTAAGCTTAAACTTTTCACATTTATAGATTATTCTTGAATTATTGGTTGTCCCACTACTAGCAACCACTAGCAAAGCATTCAAACAGGTTGACATCTAAAGGAAAACAACTAACCTGCAACCGGTCGTTTCCCACAAACTGGCAACCACTAGCAACAAACACATGTCGGTGCTCCGAAGTGCGACTCCCTCTCAAAATGCTTTCCACGTTAATTTGAAGGGTACAACAGTTAGAATTGTTTCCGGTGGACTCTAGGGGGGGAGGCAATGGGGCAAATGACAAACATGTCGTTTTTCCAGGGCCCGAAACAAGCAAAATAAAGGATGACACTCACCAGACAATCATTTGCTCTGAGATCAGGTCATTGGCGCTGGCATGAGCGCCGCAACCACACTGCGAGACATCTTGGAGCTGGCCAAGGATTCACGTGTGTTTTTTGGTTGTTCGTGTGTTGGGTGTTTGGGTGGCTGGTGTTTGTGCCCTTTTTGTGCTTTGAGGGAGGTGGTAGACTGGTACCATTTCGGAAGGGGCTGGAAAGTGCTCAGAGCAGCTCCACCACATCTAGGGTGCCTGCAAACTGTCCCCCCCCCCCCTCAGCATCGGGTGTGGCATTCCCGGCGTCCCAGCGTGGTCTGCTTGGGCACAAGCACCCAGCAAGCATTGCATGTTCTGCCAGAGGTGGCCGTGTTTGGAAGGTACCTGCGGTTTAAACATATGTTTCGCCTGATGCTCAGAGTCTTTATTTCCACTGGCAATAGCTGAAACGGGCAGCCCAGGTGCGATACGGATCACCCAAACAATGGTGGCTGTCGGCTTCTCTTAGATTCTTTTTTGAAATAACAAAAAGACGGGCACCATCAGCACACGGCATACTATTCGAATTTGCCAAAGAGTGGGCACCCCTGGTCAGCTAGCATTTGATTGGCGTAAGATGCGCATGAGCGAGCCACGTGTGGAAAGTTGTGGAGCCTTGCAGGCCTTCGGCCCTGGTTGATTGGCCAGATTTGGCTATGATTTTTGATAGGGAACCCCTCCAAAGTGATGGATAGGTGGACATGGATCCCCACCTAAATGATGTCTACCAAAGGGTTCCCGATTCAGATTCAGAGCCATTTATGGCTCTGCTTGCTTCACAGCAGCTTCTGGAGTTCGTGGCCTTTGATTGCTTCGGTTTGGATCGGCTGTCGGTTTCTCTGTGCTCTGCTGGTTAAGCTGGGTGACGCCGAGATTTTGCGGTTCAAACGCACCACGCAACTCCTGACTGCAAAAGCATGCCGACAACCCCAAACGCTTCCGGTGTCAGACAGGGCTGCTTGTTCGCCGCAGAGACCCGCCCACTTACACCCCGCGAAGGTGGAGACAGGGACGAATGATCATTGTATTGATGGCTAGTGGGAAGCCAGTCGCCAGGAGGAGTCCGGAACGGAAGTGGTCCTGGCCGGCAGACCTGGAAACGCCTGCGAAGGTATCCAAAACACCCAAGGCCCTTTCGCCGTTTTTGAGGATAGCCCATGTGTCCGAGGGCCAGGTGGAATGGACCTCTCTTTCTGGGTTTTACATTGGGCTCACTTGGTATGAACCAAAATTAAAGATCTCTTGTTTGGTTGAGGAGACGCTGAGACATGGTGATAAATCCATTTTTCCCCTCAAAATCCAGAAACCGCCATGTTTGGTCCCAACTTCAGGAACATGTGAAGGTTGCTGGGGTAAGGTGCCAATTGCGGAACATTGGCTGGGCTGATCCCAGTGACAAAGCATACGTGCGGAGGAGACTTAACCACTTTGCACAGACAGGGGCCTTGCCCGTTTCCAGAACTCTGCAGGTTTCCGCCAGCCACGGTCAGCCTTTTCTTTAGAAAACGGCTGGCAGGCGGATCTTTGCGGCCCCAAAGGAGGTTTTTGGCCGGGTCGGCCTTTTGTTCCAAAAAGGGGGGTTGTAACCCAAGTAATCAGGGCATTTCCCTTTTCATGCCTTCTTAAGGCTCTTTGAATATTTTGGGTGCTGCAAGCAAGTCCCAACCCAGTTCAGCTTGGCAAATGGAGACCGCCCACCTGTCCAACTCATTTTAGGCTGTGACTCTTTTTGCTCGGCACCCCACTGCCTGGTTTCCGCAAGGACGCTCTGACCAGTGTTGGGGCCCAAACTGGCTTTGAGACAGCCCATTTTGACACTCAAATGGTTGCTCTTTGGGACACACGGGCCCCTACTGAACATGAGGAAGTGCGGAACTGAGAGAGAGTCCTCCATGCCGCTCCACATGGACCATGTGACGCAACCTCGCTGACGAGTCGTCACCCGTTTCAGAGGTCACGCGGAGCGGGTCGCAGCCGTACAGCGTCATCCCCGATGATGTGCTGCCGCAGCGGAAGGCGGGGGCACGGCCATCGCGTTTTGGACGCTGCCCGACATGTTTCCTCCTCGTTTTTCTTCTTTTTTTCCTTTTCCAGTGAAGGTTCTGATTCGATTCCCCAACGGAAATACCAAAACAGACCTTCTGGTGTCCTTCCCATGGTTTCATTTCGTGGTGCGAAGGGATTCCGCAACCATCCAACGTACCGATCGGTTTGGATTCTGACTCACCTCCAGGATGAGGTGTTCTTTTATTGTTTTTGCCTGGAGCTGGTTGTTTCTTAGGTCTGATTTTCCCTTTCTGTTCTTTTGTCGAACACAAACAAAAAGCTGCCCTACCCTCACCTCCCACGCACCTCCCTTTGAAGTCGAGGGTTCTGCCGTCTCTCAGGCCCTCTGCGAGTTGGGGAACCAGGTGGCAGCCGGGCAGCTGACCGCCGCCTACGTGGGTGGCTCGGACGCATTAAAAACTGTCGAAGACACAGGGAAGGGAAAACATGTAAACTGGGACCATCCCCCACAAAATACTTGGTGGTTCCCAGCCACTTGGTTCCTTTGCTTTCTAGATCTTTTAGTTGGTTTAGTGGTTGGGCTTCCGTTTAACCCATTAGAAGTTAAACAACTGTTTGCTGAAATGATTTGCTTTGCAATCATCCAAAGAATTTTCAAAGATGAACACTGTCTCTCCTGTTCTTGGGCTATGCTGTGCTTTTGGAACAAACATCTGCAAGAGGAACCCTTGTTTTTGTCTTTTGCTGTCGATCTTTGTTGCTGACAATAATCCGAAAAAGGTTTCCCCCAATTTGAAAGGTGAACATCGTCTCTCCAGCGATTGATCTTGATATGTCCTCAAACAGGCACTTGGTTTTAATGCATGAAGGACCAAACCAGCCCCAATCAAGTGGACAATTTGAGAACCAGACACATCCTCACACACATACATACATACATACATACATACATACATACATACATACATACATACATACATACATACATACATACATACATACATACATACATACATACATACATACATACATACATACATACATACATACATACATACATGCATGCATGCATACATAGATACATAACAGAACATACCATAACATTACATTACTTTATTCTACTTTACTTTACATACATACATACATACATACATACATATATATACACACACGTGCGTACATACGTACATACATACATACATACATACATACATACATACATACATACATACATAGACACACACACACACATACATACATGCATACATACATACATACATACATACATACATACATACATACATACATGCACAAATACACATAGACACATACAAACGTACACGCATACACACATATACACATACACACATACACACATACACACATACACACATACACACATACACATACACACATACACACATACACACATACACACATACACACATTCACAAATACACATACACACACACACGTACACACATACACACATACACGCATACACACATACACACATACACACATACACACATACACACATACACACATACACACATACACACATACACACACACATACGCACACACACACATACACACACACACACATATATACACACATACTCACACATACACACACACACATACATACTTGCATCCATGCATCCCTATTTACATACATACAGACACATACACATACCTACGCACACACACATACATACTTGCATCCATGCATCCCTCATACATAAACACATATATACACACACACACACATACACACACACACACACTCGCACATACGCACACACGCACACATACACGCGCATACATGCATACACACACATACATTCTTGCATCCATCTTCCCTCGTACATAAACACATATACATACACACACACACATACAGACAGACATACCTGCATACGACATGCATACACGTGTATATATACATATAGACACCTACACATACACATACACATACACACGCACGTACATATACACATGCACATGCACATGGACATACATACGTACATACATATACATTCATACATATCCATATGCAAAGACAACCACACAGGCATACACACTCACTCATAATATACATCTCGATGTATATACGCACATACAGTCACATACATATGTATATTATTTATACGTACACACATGCGCACGCGCAAGGGACACACACACACACAAGAATATGTAGAGAGACGCAACCACACACACAAACACACACACACACCAAACACACCAAACACACACACACACACACCACCCACACACACACACAACACCCACACACACAACACACACAACACACACACACACACCCACACCCACACCCACACACACACACACAGCACCAATGTAAAACAAAGCCACGGACTCACAATCTTCCCCATGCCCGCAGTCAAGCATTCCATGCGTTGCTTCGGTCTATTCGTTTGCTCGTTCGTTTAGCAGTTTGCGGGTGCTTCTTTGTCTGCTTTATCCTGCACCACCGAAGCAACCCTGGTTTCTGATTCGATTCCCCAACGTAAATATCAGCAAACTTGCTGGTTTCCTGCCCATGGTTTTATTTCGTGGTGCTATCGATTGGGTTTCGTCCACCCACCCGCCGTATGTTTGCCACTGGCCTCGCCTTGACTCAAAAAGACTCAAGGCGGCGCGGCGGTGCAGGAGATCTCTGAGGCTGGGTGTTGTTTCTTTTTGAGACAAAAAGAGGTGGCCTTTTTAGGCGGGCTTACAGTGGTTAAACTGGGCTGTCCGTTTTCTGATCAGGTCCCCTGCTAAAGAAGTCTAGCTTTTGACGCTTTAGTGGAAACTACCACTATACCAGCTGAAAAGCTAAAAACCTTAGGGGATGGCAGGGAACCACTCAAAAGATGGAAGCCACCATTTTTGGGGCTTGAATCCCTATTTTGACACACACACACACATGGGAAGGCGGCAAAATAGGATGGTTTGTTTGGGGAGCCTCTTCTGGACAAAGCGGGGGGGATGCGCCTAGGCTAAGCCAAGGATACACCCCAAACAGGCCTTGAGGCCAGTCAGGCACCCCTTGGCATCCATGAGCAAAAGGGCACAAGCCCAAATGTGATCTGTAGAGGGTTCTGCTTCCCATGGGTCTCAAGTTTCTCTCCAGACTTCCACTGCCTTGTGGAAGGGGTTTCCCTGTGAACAAACAACTGCTACCGCAGCCTTGGGTGGGTTGCTCCGCAGCATCCAAAGAGTGCGTCTCGTTTCTGAGGCCGGAGCCTTGGGGTTCGTTTCCCCGCATCCGAAGAGTGCGTATTTTCCGGAACAGCGACTCATATGGGTTTTGGCACATCTTTTGCAGGTTGAAGGGTATTGGTTTTGGGTGGTCTGTTGGTGTGTCGTTTTCCAGTTGAAGAGGTTCAAAGTTTCTTGGGGTGATACACACAGGCGAATGTATAAATCCTGTTCTGTTTCTAGTACGTTCCTGAAGGTCTGCGGGGCAACTTGGGGTGGCTCTTTTCTTTTAACCATCATATAAGCTCCGTTTTGCCTTCTGGATTCCTTAGTTGCGCCCTGTTCCGTGTTTTTTTGTTGGCGGGGTTCCATGACGATCAACCAGACGAAAGGGTATCCCGTTTCTCAAGTCCACAAGCATGGACCAGGGACAGAAGCAATGTCATTGGGTCCTTGGAGAACATACACTTGCTAAGTTGGAACGGACCCCCTATGAACCGTTTCTTGCGGTGTCCTTGTAGGGAAGCAGGTTCATTCCCAACACCCCTGTTGATTCCGCCCGACCAGCAAGTAAAGCACCCATGACGGGCAAGCGCCGCATTCGCAGGTAGACGGGCGGCTGCAGGTCCTGCTGCAAACCCCCGAGAAAACGGTCACCGAGACGGTGGATGAGCTGGTGTGCTGCGCCCTTTGGCCTCAATGGCTAGGCAGTTTTTTTCAAAACTCGGAGTGCGTCCCAAGGCACACGGCACCAAGAAGACCATACTTTTGGGGACTTGGTGTGTGTGTGTGTATTTGGAAGGGGTGGGTTTGGGGGTGTGCGAGGAACCAATTCCCCTTCGCCGTCCACGTGCTTTTCAGAGGCATTCAAGAGACGCACCCACTGCACTTTTCAACTCCGGTACTACGCATGATCAGATGCATTTGAAAGCTGTGGTCACAGCACCCTCTTATCAAAATACGCGTCCATACGGCCATGATTTCTATTTGGACCCCTACTCAAAATAGTTGGTGGATACTGATCCCCACAGAAATGATGTCCCTTCTTCAAAGTTGTAGCCATGTGTCCGAGCAAATCAAGTTGCGACCTTGCAAGCATCACTTCCTGCCGCAGGGACCCCTTACTTTGGAGTTGGTGAATCCGGCGTTAAGTGTTATGTTTTTAGTGTTATCTTTTAATGTTGCTTTTTAGGGATGTCAGTTCTTTTATCGATGTTAGTTTTATTCTTTTAGTGTTATTCTTTTTCTTTTAATGTTGCTTCAAGTTCTTTTTCTTCTTTTCTCCGGCACTTCAGATTCTGCGTCAAGCATGTTGCATTTTAGTCTCACTTCCTGAGAATGGACTTTATACACTTGAACACCATTTGAGCGGCAAAGACAAGCGACAAGTTTGAATACTTTGTTGGGCCAAATCCACGTTGAAATGCAACACTTTTGGTCAAACCCACATTGGGATTTTGGGATTTCACAGGGCTTCAGACCCTGGGCCACTGACAGGAGTCTAGATCAAATTCGTTTGCGGGCCGAATCTTTCCCACAAAAGGGGGGGACCTCCAATTTTCCCACACTCTCTTGGGGGAACGCATCCGCAATCGCACTATCCTCTGCCCAAGGTAGGGTACCACCCAGACACCTCTGTCTACGAGGACCGTGCAAAATTAGTTTGTGTGCTGCGCCACAAGTTTTGAGTCCTAATTCAGCGGGTGCGGCCTGGCACTTGGTAGGCATCATGGCGAATTTGCGAAGGAAGTGTCGGCCTTTTCGCTTTGCTTTGGTGACTATACCTTCCTTTGGTGGCAAAAGTGTTGCCGATATTTCTTCAGACAGGCTTCTGCACCCGCTCCAAGCACAGATGCCTTCCCGGCATTGCATTCCCTCAGGAAAAGACCACCAGCCTCAAAAACAACCTGCCTTGCCAGCTGATCCAGTGGCCCATGGGTAAGGCGCTGTCCTGTGTCTTTTTTTTCTGGTTTTTAGCATTGTATATATCATTGGTTTCCCTTTAAGCCAAGCCCACAAAGGTTCCCGAGCCTCCGCGGAACCCAAAGAGGTTTGCCCGGAAGCCTCGCTGCTTTTCCGCTAGGAGCTCCAAGTGCACCAATGCTACGCGTCCAACGGGCCCATCAAGCGGGGAGCGGTTGGTCGTTGGGTTGGGGGGGGTGAGGGGGGGGGTTGGGGGTTGGGGTTGGGGGTTGGGGTTGGGGGTTGGGGTTGGGGGTTGGGTCCCTGGCAGGAGGTCTTTGAAGATTCCCATGACAAAAGAAGAGGCATCCAGGTCACCAAAGCCATGGACTTGGGGACTTGAGGACTTGGGGATGTGGAAAGCGAGCTACCGGCTTCGCCGGATCGAGAAGCGTCCTGAAAGCACGCTGAAGACCGCCTCCGGTGTTTGACTTGCCTGGACCGCCTGTCCGCTTGCCAGGCATTTGTTTTGCTCGGAGAAGCGAGTGCGGCACCACGCAATCTGGTTGTTTCTCTTTTGGCGCCCCTTTGGGCGAACTCAATGGTTTGTCTGGATGTGTTTCTGGTATCAAAAGACGGATGGACATTTCGCTTGTGCGTTTTTATACTGCAACCTCGTCGGATCCAGGTGGGCTGTGCTATCCTCTTACTGCAATAGAGCGCAAAGTCCCTGCCAACGCTCATACGCATCCAGTCGTGTCGCGCTGCCTCGTTGATGGTAGGGTCTGGGGCAAAACGAGCTCGCCCGTTTGAATTGCCCATCGGGCGGGGACGGTTAGAAAGAATCAGCGCGCTTTGAAAGCGGCCTGAAAAATGTGGCCTTTGAGTAGTTGCCTTACAGCCCCTGTTTTGGAAAGAACACCCGACCGGAATTCTATCTTGCCAGTGCGTTTTGCCGAAAGAGTCGATTCTGAAAGACGCAACGTGGCACAAGAGTTTGCTTTCCACTTGGCAGGAATGGGTGTCCTTTTTTGCAGGAATGGACACCCCCGAAACGGGTTTCGGTTTTCCTCTCGGTGTTCCTTTATATACAACCAAACAAAACGACGAGCACCAACTCCAGAAAAGACTAGCCACCCATATTTACTCTAGATTTACTCTAGGGGATGCCCTTCTTTTTACACGTGCCACAGGGCAGTGCGGTTTTGTATTTGCCGGGCTCGGCAAGTTCCTCGTTTTCCCTCCTTGTAAGAGTTCCTGAGTTTCGGAGAGCTAAGGGCACTAGGACAAATTGTCTTCACAGCTTACAACATGTGCGAAATCGCTGGCTTTTTTTCTCGGGTTTTGTTTTGCCCGTCTTTGTTGGTTCAGTTTATTTTTTAGGTGGGGGTTGCAAAAACATTCCTCCTTATAAACAAAAGAAGCAGGACAACAGTGTTGTTGTTGTTTTTTTTTTTGTTTTTTTTCTTTTTTTCGGCGTGGGCACCTGCTCCGGCAAGCTCGGCAGGCTGGCGGCGACGCTGATCGGTGGCTCAGGGGACTGCTTGAAGCAGGCAGAATGAAGACGTCGAAGTGGGGGGCAAGGGTTCCAACCCCGAAGTTTGGGTTTTGGCTGGTTAGGTGGAAAAGAACATGGCCCTGGATGTGCCGGTTTCGTTTTTCGAGCAGCCACACAGAACACCAATGTTCCAACTTTTTTGGGGTGTCTGACACAATGTTTTGGGAGTTCTCTCTTTCTTTCTTTTTTTTGGCGGGTGAGGGAGTGGGGTATATAGTGGGGTCTCCTTTTGTTGAGACGTACCCGGTTCCTATACTTGCCTTGGGGTTGCTTGTTCTTTCGCCGCAATGCCGTAGGAAACCAAAGGCTTAGCATCGCACTTGGATAGACGAAGCCCTAAAGATGATGGGACAAAAGCCACCAAACCCAACTGGTGCAAGGTTGGCGCGGAGTGAGAACAGTCGAAACGTGTGCTCTTTTTTGGCCCTTTAGAATCAGCCAAGAAAAGGGTGCTTTGTGTCTGGAGGCACCCAATCGAATTGTGTGGCTCTAGCTGTACACTGTATTTCCCTTCCCCCCCTCTTTATGGAATTCTCTTGGGAAAACCATCCACCCCACAAGCCAGACGCTGATTGAAAAGAAGGATGAGTGGAAAGACTCGGACCTCCATTGGCACAGTCTTCAACTTCTTTTTGAGGTTTTACCTTCCAGATTGACCTGCAGGGACATCCACAGGTCTGGGAGTGGGGAATCAAGCTTTTGAACAAGGTCGACCATGAGAGTGCCGACTTTGTCAAGGGCGGTTCAGTATTTTTCGTAGAAATCTATTTTGGGCTCCCTTTTTTTTCACCCTCCGAAGTTGTTTTTCTAACCCTTCCTTTTTTTTCAACCCTCAAATTCTGCTTGGGAACCGTCTGCGGGAACCTTGTTTCTCCAACCCTGAGAAATCCTTTCTTTTCAACCCCTCACCTGTTTTTGCTCATCCTCTGCCTTGTTTTTTTCACCCTCCGCCTTGTTGTTTTCACCCGCAGCTTGCTTGTTTCACCCCGCAACCTTGGTTTTCTCACCCTAAACCTAAAACAACCTAAGCCCGCCCCGCACCCAACCCAACCCAAACCAACCCTAGGCCCGCCCTAAGCAAACCTTGCCAACCCTCAAACCAGCCAAACTCTAAATCAATCTCAAACCAGACAAACACGCCCAAACCCACCCCAAACCCACCCTACACTAAATCACGCTAAACAAGCCCTAAGCACACCAGAAACATCTCTTGTCCAACCCTAAACCCACCACAAGCCAAGCTACACCCACCCTACGCCACCACTGACCTACTCGAAACCACCCTAAAGTATACATAACCCACCCGTAACCAATCCCAAACCGACCCTAAACCAACCCTAAATCAACAAACCAAACCAACCCTAAACCAACAAGCCAGTCCTGAACCCAACCTAAACCCACCCTACACGAACTCTAAACCCGCCCGAACCTTGATCCAACAGTAATCCCACCCCACACCTTAAGCTTAGCCTAAGCCAACAATAAACCCACCCTAAACCCAGCTAAACCCCAATCCCACCCTAATCTAGCTTTAACGCAACTCCAAGCCCAACCTAAACCAACCCTGAACAGACCCACCGACCCAAAACCAACCGCCCCCACCCTAAACTCACCCAAAAGCAACCCACACTAAACTCAAAAACCAACCTGGGCCAGCCCTACACCAACCCTAACCAACCCTGAGTCACTCCAAACCAACCTTAAACCAACCATAAGCCCACCCTGTACCAACCATGAATCCACCCTGATCCAACTCTCAGCGCACCCTGAGACTCTAAGCTGAGCTTGACCCAACCCCAAATCCAGTGAAGCCAACCCTAGGCCAACCGCAAAACAAATCCACATCCAAGCCTAAACTAACCGCAAACCCCACCCTAAACCATCCCAGACCAACCCTGAACCAACCTACATCCAACCCAAAACTAACGAACAACATACCCTTAAAAACCCTAAGCCCACCTCAAATCAAGCCACCCCAAATCAACCCTAAGCCACCCTTGAGCGACCCCAACCTAGCGCAACCCCACCGCCACCCTAGACATAGACAAACCGCAAACCCGCCCTGAACCAACCAGACATACTCTAGACCACCTAAACCAAACACAATCCCACCGAATTTTGTTTTAAGTGAACCTAATCCCTAAACCCTAAACCCTAAACCCAACCCTACACCCGAAGCCGACCCCAAACCCACCTCAAACAGATTCTAAGCCAACACGAAATCCACCCAAAATCCACCCTGAAGCCTTTCGACACCTAATCCCACCCTAAACCAACACCATGTAAATCCAACCTTTATCCCAACCCTGACCTCACCCCAAACCCATTCTAAACCCACCCGTAGCCAGCCCTAAATCCATCCTAAACCAACCCCAAACCAATCATAAACCCACTGTAGACCCATTCTCCAAGCCAAAAACCCACCCTCATCCAACTTTGAACCCACCATATACCCAGCACAGACCTGCTCGAAACCAACCTTAAAACTTAAACCGACCACAAACTTGCCCTTTCCATCCCAAAATAACCCTAAACCCACCCTCAACAAACCCTACCCCGCCTCTACACCCTTCCTACACAAACCTAATCCTACCCCAAACTAGCCTTAAATCTGAGACCGCCCAACGTAAACCAACACAAAATCGACCTCAACACATACGTGAATCCACCCTTCCCATCCGAAACCAACCCTAAACCCACCACCCTAAACCAACCCTAAATCCAAAACCACTCCGAAATCAACCCAACCCTAAACCGTTGCTTAGTACAGTTGCCGCAGGCGTCGGCCACAGGGTTGGCAAACAGGCAAACAAGAAATGGAGGGTTGAAAGGAAGAGGTGGAGGGTCAGAAAGAAAGGGGGGAGGGTTAAAAAAGAAGGGGGGAGGGTTAAAAAAGACGGGGGGAGGGTTAAATTGAAAGGGTGAAGGGTTGAAAAAACAGGGAAGGGTTGAAAAAAAAGGTTTGGAGGGTGAGAAAAAAGGGTTCCCCATCTATTTTGAACCGCCGCCTTTAGTCATCCCCCAACAGCTTCACCTTCCAACTTTCACTTGGGTCGCGCCAGCCACATTCACTGGTCTGGCCTTCTGGACCAGTTGAGTGGTGGTTTTGGATCCAAATGGTTCCAACATATTACCCTCTGTCCCAGGTCCCTTCAAAAGGACAATGCCCCTCTCCATCCGGCGAGCCTCCCAAAATAAGGCAACAATACATCTAGGGGTTGATTTTTCATTCTTTTCAGCCATCGTTCTTTTCTAAAAACCAGCTGTTTTTCTGGGATTCTGATGGTTTCCTGAAAAGAAGGATCCCGGGAAAGAATGGGGAAGGTACCCTACAGCTGCATGTGGCTGCAAGGGTGGACCTTTTGGGAGTGAGCGCCACCAACAGACGGAGAGTTGTGGGAGCTGCGAGGAAGGTGTGGGAAGGCTAGAATTTTGGAAGTCCACTTGCTCAAGAGGACAGCTGCAAAAAGTGGAAAAAAGATCGAACACCCGGAAACAAACAAGATGCCCCGCTGATCCCATGAATCCATGGTGGCTGGTTTCCTATCAACTTTAGCCTATCAACTTGGCAGTTCCCAGCCAAAGGGTAGTGAGCCTCAGACCCAAGGGGTCAAAGGTTCTCAAAAAGGGGAGCAACTGTGCATCCTCTTTTCCTTCAGGCCCCACGGCTTTCTTAAGTGTTCATCAAATGTATATCTAACGTACAACATACTTTTTTTTTATTGAACAGTGCAACAATAATAACATACACCAGTTGTTCGATACTTTGAAGTACTTCAATCCTTTCTTGTTCGGTTGTTCCAATCTCCTCACCTTTCTTGGGGTCTTTCCCTTCCACCGGACGGATGGAACCCGAAAAAGAGAACCGACACCCCAGGTGGCCGCGGGTGCGGACACGCTGAAGAACCCGGCCCTGGGCTCAGTGAAACCGATGGGGGGGGGAAAGCGGGGTGGCAAACACTTTGGGTTTTGTTTGGCCAGGTTTGATTCTTCTTTTTTGTACGGGGGCAAGCAAGAAGCTTGGACTTTGCTTAAGGCCAGTCCGCGGAAGTGAGACTTAACGGCTCTTCGGCTGACACGCAGAAGGTAACATTGCGACCCCTTTCGAGCGGGAAACGAACACCCTGGCCATTGGTTAGACGTTTGCGATTTTTGGAGCCGTATCCTCAACATTCTCTTCAGGGGTCTTTCTGTTCGGAATTTTGCCCAACATCCGAATAACCCGGGTTGAAAGAACGACGGGCAAGTATAATGTGGAATCAGGCCTTAGAATGGCGCACAGCTCTTTTGGGCCCAGGTCCAAGTGAGGTACTGGGGAACATTTCCTGAATACATCCGTTTTTATTTTATGATTTGTTTTTCGAGGCAACGCAACAAAAGCAGGCAGAAGGCATGGGCAAGTTCTGCGGTGTGCTGTTTTGCCCCTTGCTTTGCTTCCGCTCATGTCCGAGATCTCTTTTGACATTGTATTACATATTCAGGTTCACTAAATGCGGACCAGAAGCGCACATCTTGCATTTGTATTGGGGCAAAAGCCTTACCATTTCCACTCACACCGTACTCTTCTGAACACGAAACTTGGGTTTGCAGCAACCCACAACCACGTTCTAAATGTGTAGGCAACTTGTAAATGTCGGTATGTGTCAAAATAGAAACTTGGACCCCCACAACGGTTGGTTTGCCTTGGTTTCCCTTGAGCTGCCCCAGAAAAGGATCCCCAGAGGCCCCGCGGGCCGGTCCAGAAACAGGCAAGTCGAATCGGAAGCCTGCCAATGAACAGATTCGCGGGGTTCTTAGAAGCAGATTCCTCAGATTTGTCGTTGAAGGGTTGTGAAAGCAATCGTTTTTTGGCCACCTGTACCAGGTGATTATTCGCGCGTCAGGGGATTTTGGGAATCTTTCGCAGACTTTTGATGCCTGTTTATTGCAAGAGGAATGTAAGGGCCTAAACAGGTACAAACTTTGTGACGTAAGTTGAAAGTCCCCCACCATATTTAGTCATGGCAGTATTTGTGGGGCCTTTGTTTCGGTTCGGTGTCCGGATACCTTGTTCCGTCTGTGGTCGCCTTCCAATCATTTTGGCCCATCGGTTTCGGTTCCCATGGCAGGAGCCGAATTTCTTCATCCTCGGCTCCAAGTCCTACGGTGCCTTGGGAAGACCCCTCGCTGTGTATATGGCGCTTTTCTTGGTTAAGGGCCCCTCCATCCCCCCCCAAAAAAAAGCCGAGGAAAGAAGCTGGTAGTTTTCGTTGTGGCCTCCCTTTAAAACCCAGATGCCCTCAAAAAAGACACACCCATTTTTTTCAAAAGAGTCTCACTTTAGTTAAAAGTTTGTAAACTTACAAAGTCGAATGATACAAGTCAAATTGGCAATGTAAAGAAGACTTGAACATAGCGGCCATGTTTGTTCGAAACGAGGCAGAGGAACCCATTTTGAAGGGGGCCATTAATTCAGGGCGATCACAAAGCTGCAGCCCACCTGGACAAAGGCATTGGTTCAATGACCAAGGAAGCCATCTGTCCAAGGGGCCAACTGTGAGCGCCTTCCGCTGCGCCACCCTGGGGGGCAGGTGCCTGGTGAAATTCATTCCCATATGAGCAAGGCGGAAGTTTGAGCAGCTCAAATCCGGCACGGCCCTTGTTTTGCTTTGGGTAAAGGGTGACGTCCCGAACCGCCAGCCAACGACCATTTTATTCCCGCCCCCAACCCTTAAGGGGACACTGCCGTTGGGGCACGTGGAATTGGAGCACCCAAGTTGAGGCAGCCACGTATGTGTTTGTTGGCAAATTGTAGCGACCTTAAACAGGTGTAGGTTTGAGGCGAGATCACCCATGAAGGTCCCTTTCACAGAATGGTCCAATCTTTCAACAAACCTGTGGACTTGTCTTTACTTGTTTTAGGAAGGCCAAGAGGGGGTTAGGAAGAGAAAAGTAGAGGCGTATATATGTTTGCCAGAAAGTCCCATAGAGCCTGCCTTTTTGCGGCCTTCGTGCTGGTTTTTCGTCGATTTTTCCGCCAATGGATGTCCCAAGTTCGAAACTTGGTTGCATGTCCCCAGCTTCGCATCTAGTGCTCAGGAAGCTCTTCCATAGTCATAAAGATGTGAGATGTGACTGCGCTGCTGTGGCGCCTTTTGCTTGTTGTTATTCTTTTTTAAATACTGTTTTCTTCTTTTCTATCGTTGTTCTTTTTTTTTGGGGGGGGGGGTCTGTTGACTTTTTTTGTCGGGGACTGCAATTCGCGGGGTCAGTGTTTTTGCCACAGGGATGGACAGTCAACACCAGATCCCTCGACACAAACCGGGACGTATGGATGTCCCTCTCGGGGTGATTCAACGCGAAGTCATAACATGGGTGACCCATCACCAGATCGGTTCCACTGGTTTAGATGGTGTTATGTCAATTTACCAGGGCCATCTATTGTTCCCAAAGGGCACCCAAAGTAGAACCTAGATCAAAGTATCGAGGGATTTGTTCGGGATTTGACTTCGGCCGTACTGGCATCATGGCTCTTACGTTAAACCCACTCGAAAATGGGGCACCCTCCCTCAAGCAAGGGTTTATACACACATTCTCATGAGAGGCCTGGCTTTAGCGCATTTTCACTATGCGCTTTGGTTGTTTTTGTGGAAGCTACCAGAGGCTTCGGCCAAACCTGGTCATGGACCAAGGGGCTATGCGAGAACCGATTCAAGCCCACATGGGGGCTTATCCTGGTTCGGCTTTACCGGGGGTAACCTTGACCGCCCCTCCCCAATGCCTCTCAGCGAAACCGGGGATGTACCAAATCGGCGAGTGTGGCTTCTATTGGAAACCGGGAATGAGGCCTTGTGGCTGGTCCAAAGATTCTGAGACGGTGGCCATGTGTCAAAGGGATGTGGACCCCCATACTGGTGATGTTTCCCCGTGCAATCCGCCCCAAACGCAAAACCTAAACAGCCCCCTTGACACGGCCCCAACACAAGAACATCTCCCGACTGTCAACCGGGTGAAGCAGATGCGGGGAGGGTGAGCAGGGGTTCGTAAGGGCCAACAAATCTACAAGGAAACCAAAGGCACATCGCCCAAAGTATAAGGGGTTGGAAGGGAAGCCAATGGAACATCCAAATCATGGGATCGTTTCAAGGATGCGCTCGCTTTTTCCTTTCAGCAATCCTTTTCTCAGAGGTCGCAAGAGCTCCTTCCTCCTGAAGATTGGGCACGAGCAGGCAGGGACCCCCTGCCCGTGTTGAGTTGGGTATGTGTTACGAACGGGGAACCCACAAAAGATGGCGGTTTCCCCCAAACAACAACCTGAAAAGGCACCCTCAAACGATGTAAAATCCATCTCCACGATTTGCTTGGTTTCTGGGAGAACCCTTACCCATTTTCCAACAATCATGGGCCTTTTTCTACACAGAGGTAGCATGCCAAGTCATGTAACAAGTTCGATCTGACAAGACGTACATCATTTTGCCAGGGCACCTACACATGCTTAAGACAGGGCTCACAACCGCAATGGCTGAGTATGCCCCACGAGCCATTGGCTCTGTGAATATGGGTTTCTCAGAATGGGGAGCGTCTTTTGGATGGTTCTAAGTGGAAACCAAAAGGAAACAAGACACAAGGCGGACCCCTTATTCTTGAAACACACCCATAGATTGTATTATACTCAAAGGAACTTTAACAAGGACTTCCGCATGACTGGAAATCAATGAGCTTGCTCTCTCTCTCTCTCTCTCTCTCTCTCTCTCTCTCTCTCTCTCTCTTTCTCTCTCTCAGAGAATAGATAGACAGATTGATAGATAGAAATAAAGACAGGTAGATGGAGAGATCGATAGGTAGATAGATAGGTAGATGCATGGAGAGAGAGAGAGAGAGAGAGAGAGAGAGAGAAAGAGAGACAGAGATCAGATAGACAGAGGTACATAGATAGATGAACATACACAAATAAATAGATGGGGAGATAGATGGATGGATGGATGGATGGATGGATGGACGGATAGATAGATAGATAGATAGATAGATAGATAGATATCACAGATTTCGTGGCAGGCGCAGCACTTCCAGGTACAGATTTCATAGCATCGACGCGGACAGCCGCACGACTGCTGAAGAGAGAGAGAGAGAGAGAGGCAAAGAGATGCAAAGAGACGCAAAGAGAGAGAGAGAGAGAGAGAGAGAGGGAGAAACGAAGAAGCTTCGAACTACCGTTTTCCTCTTTTGAATCTTCCGCCCCTCGGCCTGCAGGACTGTATTGGCATGCAATATATATATATATATGGAAATGTTCGCTGGCTGATTCGCTAGCACAAAACAGCAACTGCAACAGCAACAGCAGGGCCACCGCCAACAAGATCGGCCACGGCGCTATCAGTGTCAGGGCCAGCACCACCAACCAGATTAGAAACGCCCACGATGCCACAGCGCAAATTCCAAAGCGGCCACCAGCAGACACACACACACAATATCACAAGCACAAGCAAGCAAGCAAGCAAGCAAGCAGGCAAGCAAGCACGCGAGCGCTAAAATTATGCAAGCACGCGAGCACCCAAACCACCCAAGCCACCGAAACCACCCAAGCAGATTAGTTAACTAGCCACTCAATCACTGGGGACTCTGCCTGCTTTGACCCCCAACCTGATTTTGTGTGCCCATAATCCTAAAGGCAAATGAAGGTCAAGGAACAAATCGGTTTTGGGTCGGAAAACAGCATTTTCCATCTGATTTGGATGCTTCCCACGTGAAGCCTTTGATTTTGATTCTTGGATGTATCAACAGAGATCCCGACAAACAAAGGGAAACCAAAGACAAGCCACACGTATTTTGGAGTTTCCATGGAGACAAGCGCACGGGGCCCGGCCCGTTCATCCAAGCTGTTTTTAGGTATCAAAGTCATCTACCACCCACAGTCGATCTATCAACCTAGCCATCAATTGCCAATCAGCTTCCCTCTAATTGGTGGTTTGGATTGGTGGATTTGGTGTTTAGGGAGAGGTTTCCATCTATCCTCCGCATGAACCAGGGATCCGTTCAAATCCAAATCCAAGCCGCCGATCCAACCCCACTAACGGCTACCTGAACCATCAACTCCCGTCTCCAAGAGGTGCGCTCAGTGCTCGACTCCCTTGCGTGAAGGCCTGCATTTGGGGGCAAGGAGGCCCTCTCTGCCTGGGAAGCCAAATGGGGAGCGCCCGTTTTTTTTTTTTTTGGGGGGGGGCCCTGGTTTGGGGACGAACCCATTTGGGGGTGTGCAATGGCTTAACCCGTTTGGTTGATATCTCGCTGTCTGCCGTGATCAAGACTTGCATGGTGCGGGTTCTTCCAGCCATAGGAGTTCTGACAGCGCGTTTGGTTTTTGCATTGCTGGTTCTGTTTGTTTTGGCCAAGACCGCCAGTGCCATTTTTCTTTCCACATGTAGAGGGGTTCCCTGTAAAATCGGCCAACCAAAATTAACTACTGTTGTTGTTCCCCTGCTTCACTTTTTGGGTGTGTCTTTTGTTGCGGAGACCCCCTAACAATGGCTTTGGTTCTCCTTTTGGTTTCCAACCAAAAGGGGTACCAACTCCAAAAAAAGACGTGCCACCCTTTTGTAAGACAACAAAACGGGGCAGCCCTTGTCTTTCTCCATGATCACCGGAGGTATGACCGTATGGCAGTTGGGTTACTCACATGTCTCACCAGCAGGGCACACGATTGTCCAATGCCCTCTTGGGCAAACAGACCATTGTGTTTTTGTGGCTCATTTAAGGTTGATTTGATCTTCGATCTTTTGTATCTTATGTTTGCATGTACATATATATATATATGCATATACAATAGATTACTAATTCCGCCGAGCCCTGGTTTGGACATGGTAAACCCGTAAAACACATGTTTCGGGTTTGGTGGCTCGTTCTTGGGACATGTGGCTTCGCATCATGCCTCGTGCATCTGAACAGCAACCAAGCAGCCGATGTTGTTAGACAAATGCATCAGTATACAATACTTTGGCAAGCCTGGGGGGTCTGTGAGGCGGCGGAAGCATCAGCTGTGATGATAAAAGAGCCGGCACGCGGAGGAGACGTTGCAGGCAGGCGCTCGCGCTGAGTTAATTAATCATGTTGAAACCATTGGTGACTGTTATTCTGTTGGCGGTGGTATACTGCTTGGAGGCTCCCTTCATGGGGTTGCGCGGGTACTGGAGGCTGCCCAGCTGCATCTGCGTCTCCAGCAGGCTGTCCTCCCGCCGCTGCGCCGATCGGGGCCATCCTGCCCCGGGTTCGCCAGGAGATGGATCTTCGAGTCCGCGTCGCGCTTCCCTGTCATGTTGATGTTGAATCAATGCGGGCATGCTGGTCGTGCGGGTGTTTGCAGGCCACAGAGAACGAGAACGCAACAGATGGATGGGGTGTGGAGCAGCAGGCAAACAGGGCAGACTGAGCACACGGACACGCATGGCGTGCTAGCGCAATCGTGCAGCTTTTCGGCCATTACGTTGAAGTCAAAGGCAGCGCATAGCAAACTGCCGGAATTGGCATACTGTCAGGTCCTACCGGTGAGCTGACACTTAACATTGCCCCAGCTTCTTTCTGTCCGGAGCTATCGCTGCGTGAACTGGCGGTGTGTGTGTGTGCCACGTGTTCCTGCTAGTGCATGTTTGCCGCACCGCTTTTTGGCAGGTTTGAAGGCACGCGCCCACACGTGTTGAGCCAACCCAAACTTTTAGATTGATGGAGCCGAGGCCACAACATAAATTGGGGGGCTTGCTCTGACGGCGTCAAAGAAATATGAGCGCACAGGCTTGCAACCTGGTGGCGCATGGCAGTTTATGCAGTCGCTTGTTTGCGTTGTATGATTGTGCTTGCCTGCTTTGTGCCAACATGTTCGCGCGAAGCACGTTTGTCAGCGAAATATAGAGACTTGTGCGTTTCTACAGGCACATGTTCCAGTTCTAGATTCCTCCGAGCTCGCCGGAATCAAAAATATTGATTATGGCTACTCACAGGTTTAAGGTATCGTTTGTTTGGTTGGGGGGTTGAGTGGATTTCATTTGGATTTTTCCCCTGTCGCTCTTTTGGGGGCCAACCTGGCGGTTGGTTTTGAAGTGATGAATTGATGCACGCTTTTGCTCGTCCTCAGAATTGTTCTGATTTTCCTGATCCAATAGTTCCTGGAAGACCATTTTACCGTCCCTCAATCTCAGCCTTTGATGAATTGATGCACGCTTTTGCTCGTCCTCAGAATTGTTCTGATATTCCTGATCCAATAGTTCCTGGAAGGCCATTTTCCCGTCCCTCAATCTCAGCCTTTGTCAGGTACATCCAAAAGCGGGCTTTTCGTTTCAATGGAAGCCACATTGATCAACTTTTTTGGAACCTTGGAGCTGTGAACACGCAGTTTGGGAGGGGCCGATCCACTCAACTGAGGGGAGGCGGGACCTCTTTTTTCCCGTGAGGCAAAAACCGTGGCGTCGGAGTGAACAAAAGTGACTGCGGAGAAAAAGAGCTTGAGGGGAGGCGCGGGGTTTGCTTTTGGGAATCACCCAGACGTGGCCCAGCATGTTAGCACTGTTCATGGGGATTGCCCCTTGATCCTGGCACACCAGTCCTCAAAAGCCCAATGCCAGAAAGAATTCATCTGGAAGGAGTTTTCCTTGAACATCGACCACCAAAAGAAGGAAACATGAGGGATCAATTTGCTCCACAACACTTGGATGAAGGGGAAACTTTGTCCAAAAACAGGTGCGCCCGCCCTTGTATGTTTTCTGTACATGAGTGACACCCTTTTGGAGGTGTTTCCATTTTGAGACCCACCAGGGCTTGAGGGCGCCCATTTGCTCCCGAGGACGGAGGCGGCGGCCTTCGGGCTGGGCGGATCACAGGCGAGGGAGGCGCAACGCTTCGGAGCTGAAGGGGATCGCGACGGGTCTTGGGCGGGGACATGGCGGGGAATTTCTCTCAACATGGGGCAAAAACAGGGATCGGACCCTCCATTCCCCTTCTTTCCAAAGAAAGGATCGAAGCACCAACTTTTCCAAGTAGCGGGCCATCAGGCTTCGCAGCGAGCCTGAAACGCATGCGGGTTTCGGATCTCGGATTTCGGATTGCGGACTGGTTTGCTGTGTGAATGCTGGCAGCGTACTATTTCTCCAGGCACATAGTTTTTCTGTCTTTCCCTACACCCCTTCCTCCGCATGTCACGGAGTCAGTTTAGCAAGGGGTTACCCCACCAAGAAACATGGCAGAGCACAGACCCGTTTTGGACCACCATTCCGGCAGCATGTTGAAGCAAGTTATCGGCACGCTGGAAGCTGACAGAATCACCTAAAACGGGTAAACCGAGCTCGTGGATCGTGTGCGTAACATCGCGCCACCGGACTGCATGGGTCGGCAGGTGAATCACGGAATTTCCAATCTACTGATGGGCATGGATCCAATAGATCAATTGCTGGTCGGTTATATGGGCGTGCCATTTTTAGAGTTGGATCCCCCAAAATAGATTTCAGTTTGTCGCTTTGTTTTCCCTTAAAGCCAGCCAAAAAGGGGTACCAACTCCCAACAAAAGACAGACCCATACTAGGGATGGATCCTTGGAAACGGCAAGTTGCTCGCCCCAGTGTATTCAAGTCCAAGGTACTCAGCTCCGAAGTTTTTGGAAGCAGGATTTCACTTTTACTTTTTGACCACCTCAAGGAAGACTTAACCCGAGGGTTCCACCCCTGCGTTTAAGTCTCGGGGCTTTTAGGGGCCCGACAGAAAGGGGGAAAAGGAGAACCGCCCCCCTTGTGCTAGGGGCTGCTTCCCAATTCTGTTCAATGATCGTTCTTGTCAAAGACCAGCACTGGAAAGAAGGATCCTAGACAGGGGGGAGAGGGGTATGTGTCAAGCGGCACTCTGATGCCCCTTTTGGTTGCGCTTTAAACCAGCACAAGAAAACTCACACCCACACACCGACACCCCCCATATCTCTAGCCCTTGGGAGGCCAACTTGCTGTCTTTTCACCTGAACCTTACCGGCCAGAGCATCGCGAGGACCCCGAACGGTCAAAATCGAACCGAGACCCATCCAAGGCTGGGACTTTTGGCAGCGCCCAAGAATCAAAGGCCGGTTCAAAGAGACCCCAACAAATGGGGGTGCCTTTTGTCTAGTTAGATGACACGCCTCTTTTTGTAAGAAAGCCCCAACTTACAAAGTGTGTTGTTTCAACGGGACCCAACTGGAAGCCAGAAGGAAACCAAACAATTGGGAGCCGGGAAGCCAGAAAGAATAAGTTGCCTTTTCATGCAAAGTCCCCCTCCTTAGTTGAATTTCAATCTTGTTTTTGATCGAATTTGATCGTCTTGGCATGAGATTCACAGGTTGGACCTGGACGGCAATGATCAATGGGGACCTGAACTGCCCCACTGAATTCTAATATTGAACTTCGCACAAGCAGGTTTGGCCGTTCAATGTTTTGCAACTAAGGGAACCATTAAGCTCAATGCTGTTTGCTTACACGAGGTCGGTCATGTGTTCCAGAATTGGTGGGGGATGCTAAATTTCGGCCAAAAGAAAGGAAGCAAGGCTGGCAAGGAAGGCAAGGCCAAGGACGGGCACGGCTAGAAAGCTCGAGACAAAAGAAGCGTGCAGCGCGAATATAAATCTGCAGCAACAAACGGCGGATGGGATCTGTTAGCCAAGAAGCAAAGGAAGCCGCAGCCGGGTTTTGCCATCTCTCGAGGCCCTGACTTGCGTTGACAGCCGGGAACCCCCCACCCCAACCCAACCACCAGACCAAAACACCACTTTGGAGGGTCAATGGGAAACTTCCCTTAAGCTCCAAACCCAAAACCAAACCAAACCACCAATTTGGATTGGTGACTTGGATTTGGATTCGATTCCCTGGTTCTTGTGGAGGGTAAACCACTCCCCTAGCCACCAAACCAAACCGACCAATTAGAGGGAATCTGATTTGAGGTCCTGGACACCGATGGCTCCTCGTCCCTGGCGGCGATGTGTCACGTCTCGACCCCAGACGAATCTTACGCCTGTGCTTAAATAGCCTGTACTTGGTGTTCTTTTCCCAAAAGGAAGTTCGAGACACCACTTTCTACCCCAATTGCGGAATTCTTCAAAGCCAAAGATGGGTGATATGTTCCTAGAGTTTCGAGATGCACTAACGACTACCGCACCCAATTGCGGACTTCTTCAAAGGTCTTTCATTGCTTGGCAAAAACTTCTCCCCCCGCCCCCCCCCCCCCCCGTTTATCGGGTGACCAACAGGATTTGACTTGAGTCAAGTGAGTTTTGTTGGCACCCTGTTTGGTCGGTATCTCGTTTTTTAGCTTAGTCTTGAATGGAAGGTAAGCTTTTGGTTGGTGCCCTCTTTGGTTCAGTCTGTATGGTTTGCAGGTGCCAGAAGGAACCGAAGGCCCGAAGTCGGAGCTTGTCCATTCTGACGCTTCTTTTGGTAGCGAAGCGTCCCCTCGTTTTGGACCTCTCCAAAAACGAAACACGCTGGTGGTCCACTTTTTGTCCGGTGGAATATCCAGATGGTGCCAACTTGGGAGGGTAAGTTAGGCACAAAATTAGGGATCCCCCCCTCCCCAATTTCCCATGTCCTTGAGGCGAGCGGCAGATTTTGAGGGAGCATTTGATACCCGCTTGGTGGCGACTCATTTCTTTGAGGCGGGTTTCAGGGAGAAAAGGCAAAGACCCAGGCAAAATCTGAATTCATCGAGGTCAAGCAGCTCCTCGAGTGAGCAGGAGAGAACGTCTATTTTTACCCTCTCACGTCTAAACTCCATGCTTGCACTCACGGGGCTGAAATGAGCTTGCCCACGAAGGTGCAATTAGGGCGATTCCTGATTTCTGGTGCGTGGGTTCCGGGGTGCAGGAAAAGACCTCCCTGCTTTTCTTCCAATTACAGATTTTCTCCTTGATAGACTGTATAATATCCTGTGAATTGCACTTTTTTCCCAGATGTATTGCAAGCCCTTGGTTTTATTTTCCCGTCATATTCGTTGCTCAACTCAATTGAGCGAAGAATGCATTGAGTACGCACCGAGTGCGCACCGAGTACGCACCTCAAGTCACGTCACTTTGCAAGGCTCACTGATTTGGCAAGTCTAAACTTGTCATTGTTGGGGTGCGATTCTGCCCTCACTGAGGATTCAGGTTGGAAACATGCCAGGGCGTGCCTTCCATATCGATGTGCATACTACTACACATATGCACACATGCGTACACATACATACGTATGCACATGCATACATGCATGCATACATGCATATATGCACACATGCACACATGCATGCATGCATGCATGCATGCATGCATGCATGCATGCATGCATGCATGCATGCATGCATACATCCATACATGCATACATGAATACACGCATACATGCATACATCCATACATCCATTCATGCATGCATGCATAGAATAGATATACACATGTTGAAACTAAGAAGAAGTGTAGGGCTAGATGTGAGCCTCATGCATGTTTCATTCTCGATTGCAACCCATCGATTGCGTGTCGGCCTCAACCCGTGGCTGCTGGTTCAAGAGAGCTTCTTCAATCCCCCATAGCCCACCGAGAGAAGCTGGCAGGTGTCGGGGGTGTCGGGGTGTTGGGCCAGCTGGGAAGTAGGTGTTGGCCTGATAGGGACCGCCCAAAGATCCCCATGGCTCGGGGGTGAAGAAGGCCCAAAGCCAAAGTGAGGAACTTGCTTGGCGGCCTGGAGGCGAACACCCCAAGTTGTTGAGACACACTTTTTTGCTTCTGCATGAGACGGCGGGTTCTTTGTTTTGTGGGGGGGGGGGGGAGAAGGCCCAGTCTCAGTGACTTCTACACAACTCTGTCAAATGAATGCCAATGGTTGCACCACCCTCCAACATGGTTGGGTGAACTCCCCGTGCAAATGATGTCCACCACAGGGTCCCCTTCAGATGCGCAGCAATATGTGGCAGACATATCTTGCGCCACTTCAAGTCTCAGACCGCGGCCCTTGGGCGGGCCTTGGGCGACGATTGCTTGTGCTCTTTGGACTTAGAAGGGCCGGGCCGGCTGGTCCGTTTGGGTTTTGGGTTGCCTGCCTTTTGGCGTACGGTCGCTTCATTTGCAGCAGAAAACTTGCAAGAGTTCGATGGTCCCTTTCAAGTGAGAAGACGAGGTTCCTGAAGCCGACACGGCTCAACGTGTGCCAGGCGATTCACACCCCTTTTGTTGCAGGTGCTTCAGAAGGTTTCATGGGTGTGTCTTAGTTTTGAGAGTACCCCCCTTGTGGCTTCGATGGGAAAGCAAAAGGAAAACCGAAGGCCATTTGGGGTTCCCTAATTTTAAACCGGACACACCCACATGTCTCTCTCTCTCTCTCTCTATCTCTCTCTCTCTCTTTTTTGGTTTGTCACCTGCGGAAAAAAAGAGAGAAGAAAACACAACGGAACCGCCAGGTTTTGGGGTTCCTCTGCCGTTCGGAGCGACGCCGAAAGCCTCTTCGACGCCAGGATGGCTGGGGGTTACGACCGCGCAATCACCGTCTTCTCGCCAGATGGCCACCTCTTCCAGGTCGAGTACGCCCTCGAGGCCACTCTTTTTTCTTTTCCGTTAAGAATCTGCCGCCCGGAAAGCTTCCTAGAGAAAGGCCATGTACTCACTTCCTCAGCTCCTGGACTTGATACTTTTTGGGTTTGGACCGTATTGGTGGCAAACAAACAGTTCGCTTACTTTTTGCAGCTAATCCACTCAAAAAGGGAGTTTAGGCGCGAAAGTTTTGGGGATGCCACACACAATTCTTTTGTGGACCTTCAAGAGTCAGGGTCGCTCACCTGGGCCCTGGGTAGAGGAATATGAATAGTCATGTGACAAGGTGAACCCTTTGCGGCGGGATGCTCACTCGAGAATTACATGTTTTCCCTAAGACACCTTCAACCATGAAAAGCAACGAAAACAACCACCAGCATCAAGTGGAACGAACCTTTTTCCGGCGGCTCCGGGCGTTCCGTTGGCTTCTCCCAGCGCAGGCGGTGCGGAAGGGCACCACCACGGTGGGGGTGAAGGGCAAGGATTGCCGGGGGCGCCCAGCCGGCTCCGTCGGAGTGAAGGATGGCTCGAAATGGCTGTGGGTCAAACCAAAGTGATCCCATTTTGGGGTAGGTGCACCACCCATTTGTTCGATTCTAGTGGGGATTGGGATGTTCACTGGGGGTACGGGATTTTGACAAGTGGGAAACATTTGGAAAGATGGTGCTCTTGCTTGGTTTCTCTTGAGGCCAAGGGTGAAGAAAACATCTGCCGAAGTTTCAACCCAGTAGGGTAACCGTGGGTAAAACATGCAATGACCCCATGTAGAGGGAAAAAGAAGCCATGTTCAGGGCATGTGTGCGATAATCAAAGGATCACAAGAATAAGAGGGAAGTCATGCCCATACCACCGATTTGGGAGTCCTTGACCATGGCACACATGGCGCGTTAGTTTTCCCAACTAGTTTCGTCGACGCCTTTGGTGCGCTGGAGTTTCCCCGGGAAAAGTTGATGTTTCACACGGTCCCTCTTTGGCAAAATGAAAGGTTTCGAACCCACTCGACAGTGCAGCCCAGACTTGCTAGAATTGGTTGTGGATCCTTGCGAACAGCTTCTCCTTGGAGTTCCGAGGAATGACTTTCCCCGTTCCACTCCTTAGCAGTCTCTTTCCCTGCAACGACCGCTGTGTCAATGCGCCAGCTTCCAGGCAGTTTCTGGGAAGGTTCCGGGTTTGCCGGATATGCCTTGAGTGGTTTGGGCAGAAACCTGGTAAAACCCGTGCCCCAGGGCTTGGGCTTGGCCAACGTGCCTGGGACTTGGCTCAAGCAACGAGAGTTCTCTGCAGAATTTGTTGCAAGACCGCCAGAGGTTTTCTTCCAGAAGCTCTTCAATTCTTCCCGCTCGTTCCCCAAAGCTGAGATCTTTGTGTTCTTTTCTCACTTTGCATTTTAAGGTCGAAACATGTACGCGGATCTAAACATTTCATTTACACATGCAAGAAAGCAGGTCATGTTGCTGCTCCACTATTTGCAGGAGGCATGTCAGGAACAAACCACAGCCACCAAGTCTCAGTTTTGACCGGACCCCGCCATAAACGGGAGGCTTCGACACAAACCGAGCCTCACCTCGCCCAACGCGCCCGAACCGCCCAACGCTGCCATGAAGCTGGAACTCCGTGACGCGAGCTTCGCGGCGGGGGGGCTGCTGCTTGGGGCCTGGCTGTCCTGGGCGCTGCGCCCTGCGGCGGACAAGGCGGAGAAGGCAGCGGAGAAGGTGCCCGACGAGGCCCATATTGGCTGGCCGACCATGGCGAGCGCCGGGTGGCAAACAGCTGAAATGGGCACGACAAAAGCCTGGGCGGTTTCAAGATTGGTGTTGGGAGTCCTTTATTTGAGGTTGGTGAACATTTACAGTTCATCCAAAGAGAAACTCGATTCACATTGGCATTTTTAGCTGATGCTGAAACCGCGCAAGGCAGGACCCTCTGAGCTTGTGGCTGCGGCTTTCTGCTGAGTTTCCAAAGCCTGGTCGGTTTTAGTCGTTGTTTGTTGGTTCGACCCAACCTTTGAAGTTGCGTGGGAATGATGTGCGCTTTTCCCCAGGTAAGTTGGAGCACTCCAGTTTTGGTGGTTTGACAAGATGGTTCCTGAAAAAGGGAGCTCCCAACACGGATGAGTTAGTTCCGGTACATGCAACCCAAAAGTTTATGTCCCCCCCTAAACGTGGCAGTGCACCGGCTGCTCTTCCAAAGAAAGGGACGTTTGCCTCCAACACCCTTCAGTTTACTTGAGAATTCTTGAAAACAGGAGGCCATATTTAGGTTTGTCTCAAAATGGGAATCAACCCTCTTTTTGGAGTTTTTGAAGGCAGAAAGCCGGCAATCTGCCAGACCAGTAGCACCTAGTTTGAGAAACGCCCATTTCTTTCCGGATTTTTTGGGGTGTCCAAGTCTCTGGTCCACTCGCATTGTTGGACACGGGGGAAGCTTTGGTATTCTTCAAAGGGTGAGTGTATGGAGGCAGGGGGGTGTCTCAAAAAAGTCAGGCACACTTGAAGTGGTTGGCTTCCTTCAAAGAACCTAACGCCAAGGGCGTTTAACTTCATGTTTACAGGGGGGTGAGTTGCCCAACTCTGGCTATGGCCCCTGGATTTTGCCACACACTCTTTTAGTTGGCAGGGAAACCAAAGGACACCAACTGGAAAAGCACCGATTAATATTTTCAGAACCCGCCAGAACAAGCCTTTTTGTTTACTTCAGGCTGATATACTTGTTTACTTTTTCCCGGTAAACGCAAGACTTACTTTTTGCACGGTGTTGCCACTTTGCTGACCAAATGTGAAAGCACGCTACAAAATGTACGTTTCTACTTTTCCCCGGTAAAAGTAAACAAAAGAATAAAAGCATAAACTAGTAAAATTTATTGCCCCATGAAAAGCAGAAAAGTAAGGCCGCCAAAAGAAAACACGTTTCACTTTTTGCAGTTTTGTTTTGGTATCAAACCTGAGTCTGTTGTACTTTCCCCTAATAAAAGGAAAACACACTCCTAGTATGTTTTACTTTTCCTAGTGAACGTAGAACAAACACCCGAGTTGCTTTTCTTTTTCCCACTAAAGGTACAACCAACTCCATTTTTAACTTTGGCGGTTGTACTTTCACTTTTCACGGGTTCATATGTTTTGTTTAACTTGTTTTTTTGTTTTCATTTGGTTTTTACTTTTTTACTTTTACTGGGGTTACTTTCTGCTACTTTCTATTTGTTCACTTTTGTGACCAAAATAGAGAATCATCAGTCTCCAGGGTTTTTGCCCGTGTCTACACACACACACACATTTGGTGCAAGTAACAGGCATGTTTTTGTTCGTTGAGTTTTATGTTCACTGCGGAAATGCCACACCCGCCTTTTTTCAGGGTTTTTGCAACCTTTTATGCAGAACTCCCAGTGTGCTGAGTCATCCTGATGAACAGCCTAGGTTTTGGGGGCGATACATGTAGGAACAAGAAAATGCATGTATGAATATATATATATATATGCTACCCCCCCCGCCCCCATGGACCCTGGTTGTACTGCTTTTTGGGGATGGCAAATCTAGAATCTCAAAATTTATATTCTCGAAATGTCCAATTGTGGGTCCCCAAATCCTGATTTGGAGCCCGGAGTTCTCCACAATGTCCCAATATGATACGCTTTCCAAATAGTATTTTACTTCAACTACAATTGGAATTTTAAAAATAGTTTAGTAAGGATATAGTTTTCAATCATGTGTTTATGTTCAATTAATTACAGCGTAGATATGCAAATCCTTTCCAACTAGGAGCTACATGAAAATGTGAATATAGTTTCGGGTAAACTCCAACTAATCTACAGAAGTTAGCTCTTCTCAAATACAATCTAAGTGTGAAGTATAATCTAATATGAACACAATTCAATTAGCTTTTGATAAAAAGAATTACATAGAGACTAATTCTCAGGTATAATTCATATTAAATATGGCTAAACATTTTTGGGGCTTCTACAAGGAAACTCAAAATACGTTTTGTGTTTAATTTCCATTCTGGCCCTTTTGTAGACAGGTCCGACATTGAACTTGTTAGACGGTCCAAAGGGAAATTTCAAGGGAAGAGAGGTTCAAATTCTAAGACTATCTCGAAACAGGGATTCTAGCTAAATCAGTTGTATTTAAAGTTCTATTTGCACAGGAAACAAAATTCATTATATCTCAAAAGGTGGAGGTAGTAGATGAGCAAATGGACAGGTAGTTCAAGAGGGGGGGGGTGACACTGTGTAAATTTACATACATATGTACATCTATATATGCACATACATACACATACATATAGTACCCTTAATTATCCTGGGCCCCTATAAAATACTGGAAAATACAGTGTTGTTGAGCATTACACCGACCTTCATTTACCTCCTGGAAAAGGGTCTGAGTCAACATGAGCATAGCTGACATGAAGCTCACCAAAGCACTTGAAAATTTGTCTAACCAATAACTTGAAGGTGTTTCCACTGGATCGCTAAGCACTTAAAAGTAGTCTACCGCTGGATGGAAGATTCAAGTTTGAAGATTACACAGGAAACTTTCCTGAGAGTTGACAATCCTGGACAAACCCAAACGACATTCAAGTTCTTCTAACACTTGAAGTGCTTCACCACTGGATTGAGGATTCAATATTGAGGAGTGCAGAAAAAAAACAACTTTCCCGAGAACCATCCATCCTGGTCAATCCCTGAAAATGTCCAAGTTGTTCTAACACCTCGAACGTATTTTACCACTAAATTGAAGATTCGAGATTGGGATATTTCACGGAAAACTCTTCCGAGAATCTTATTGAACACCGAGAGTATTGAAACGACCGCGGAATTTGTTTAACCCAAATCCTGGATTCAAGATTCAAGATTCAAGATTCCCAGAAAGTATTCTCTCAGATTCTTGAATTTTGAATCTTGAATCCATAATTTTTAAATTTCTTCTAAAAATTCTGGGATTCAAGATTCCAGATTCAAGATTTCCAGGAAATATTTTCTCAGATTCTTGAATCTTGAATCTTGAATCCATTTTTTTTTTAAATATATATATATATATATATAATCCTGAGTTGTTCTTGTACTCTGGATGCATTCAAACTCTTTCAGATTGCAGATGCTGATGTCATTGCTTTTATCACATCTGTCTGCACGCATGCATATCGTATATATGGCACCCCCTAATTTTGACACAAATCCAAGAAGCAACAAAAAGGCACAACACACAGGAAAATACAGGTCAAACACACCAAACCAGGGTCCATGTGGGGGGGGGGGGTACCATACACATACACATATACATATATATATATATATATGAAGACACACCTGTATATATATATATATAATTACACAAATAAACACATATATATATACAATATGTATATTTGTATACATATATGTATATATATATATATATATATATGTGACCCATGGTCATGTTTCGCAGGCGGAGTTTCCCTCGGAGGTGGCGGCCCTGGAGGCCCGGAAGGCGGAGCTGCAGCGTCAGCTGGGCGCCGATCTGCGGGGCGCCGCCGTGATGGCCATGGCACCTCGGCCCTCGGCGCGGCCGACCCCGCTGGTCTGGGCAAACAGCTATCCAGTTCCTTGCTTTTCCCCCCCCCCCCCCCCTGCTTTTTTTGGGTTTAATATATATATATATATATATGTATGTCTATATATATATATTATACATATATTAGGCTTTTAGTTATTTGTTTGTTAGTTATTTTAGTTTTTCGAAGTCATACACCCGCTCGTCTAGGTGCGAAAAAGGTTTGGCTCCAAGGTTTGGTCGCCTTGTGGAAAAGGGGGGGCCGTGTTTGGTGGGGATTTAGTGAAAGACGTGATTTCTCGGTCTTGCGGTTTTCCAAAAAGCCTTCCGGTTTCTTCGGCTCTTAGGTTTTTAGTTGTTTTTTGGTTGTCTTTAGGTTTGGAGTTTAGTGGTAGGTAAAGCACAACACCACCAACAGGTTTTCTGTCGAATAGCAGGGGATCTGAGAACCGATCAGTTGTTGTGGGGATTGTGCAGATTCCTTTCCAGGACCCCTTGATTAGTAGCTGAGTGGCACAGCAATGCTGACTGAAATTAGTCCGGCAGACCCCAGTCAGAGGAACGGCTTGCCACCTCTGATTAGTGCTGGGTTTGTTTGGCCAGCCTTTTGCTTGGTGTGCTGCAAACGTAACAGCCTGATCGTCATGGTGAACTATTCTGCTTTGCCAATTCTGCTGAAGCAAGCACTCGAACTGTTTACAAAGAAGGATAGCTTGTCCGCTAATGGACATATAATCTTGTCTAAGGGGCCCATCTGTTCGGCGTTTTGGTTATTCTTCCCGGAGGTGTTGTTTTCAAGACACTCTTACCAACAGGTATTTTACTTTCTTCCAAGAAGGTTGAGAAATCTTTAATAAGTTCGCTTTTCTGCTGTTGAATTCTCCCAAAGAGAGGTTCTTTGCTACCAAATTGACAAGTTGTGTAAGTTTCCAACACGTTTTTGCTCCATGCCACACGTCTTGTTTTGTTCACACATTTTCCCACCACGTCACATGTTTTCTCCCGCAAACAGGACACATGTGACTTCTGCCGTTTCCCCAAAAACAAAACTAGAGCTGGCTTGGGGGGTGGGATGGGGTTGGGAAGGCTTGTATTTTACTTCAGGAAGCCACGACCTCGAGATCTCTAGAAAGAGGCTAGGACACGCCCTTGAACATCAGGAAAAAGAAGATGAGCAACCTAAGGATGGTCGTCATCCAATTTGGGTCAACCATTCATTTCATGGGGGCAAGGAACCCTAGTAGTTTGGTTCTTCATGCCCTTGAACATCAGGAAACAAACACGCAACCAAGTTGTTCCAAAAAAACAGGTCCTATGTTTTTAAGGGCTTAGATCCGGATCTGGTTGGGAGATCCGCTTGGTTCTTGAGGTCTACCTGGGGGATCAGCTGGGCCTCTACCGCACCATGGCCAGCGACACCTGGACAGCCTCCAAATTGGCAAAGGCTGCTGGTGGCCTGCAGCCGCGGCTTGTGCAGGCACCGGCAAAAGCGTCCAAATAGGCAACCGAGGACCCCCGCCAAAAACGGCAGCGTTCCTCGCGTTTTCGACTTTGAACCACACCTAAAAGGACGAATCACCCAGTTTCTTGGAGAAACACATGGATTTTTGAGGTCGGTTTGAAGGGAAGAACAATGAATCCGCTATGTGGGGTCCCCCTGTCAAATTCGGTTTGCCCCCAAAATTTGGGATATCAAGGCCACAAAAGACAAGCCAGGTTCCTGGCCTACCCCTCGTTCGTGGGTTGGGGGGTCCCCACCGGCTGGGGGAAATCAGCTTTCCGGTTCAGGGCGATATCCATCCGAACGGCGCCCACGCCGGTAAGGATCCATCCAAATTCCAGTGATTGAGCGTAAAAGATGTGGCCAAAAGGGGGGCGACCGAATCGAGTTGGAACAGGTCCAACCTGGGGGGTTCTTAAGAATGAGTACTCTTCTTGGTTCAGGAGCTGTAAATACCAACCAACGTCATGGTTTCAGCCACGGTTGCGTTTCGTGCGAAGCGGAGTTCGCAACCATGCGCAGTATTTTAACACCCCACATGTTGACCCTAAACCAACCCTAATTATTCGACCCCCATAAACCAACCGTAACCCCAGCCCTAAACCAACTCCAAACCAAGCGGAAACCGCCCTAACCCCCACATCATAGGTGTCCTTTTGGTTGTTTTGGTAGAAAAATAGATGGCCCTGGTTTATTTGGCGGTTTAGTCATCCACCAGGGCCATCTATTTCCCCTAAAAGGACACCTATGCCCCACATGTTGACAGCTCGCTCGCTCGCTCGCTTGCTCCAGGAGTGGCTGGCGCAGCAGGCGGCCTCCGGGATCTTGGATTTTGACGCGGCCAGGCAGAGCTTCGCGCTGCCCGCCCCTTGCCGCGCGCTGCTGGCGGAGCAGCCGCTTTAAGAAACAGGAAGCTTTTCTTTGGTGCATTTTGCTTGGATGTTAGACTTTAACTTTTTGCCAACTAATGAGTTTTCCATTAAACCACCAAAAGTTAAACTTTTAGCAGGGGAGCAGCTTTGTTGGCTTGCCGCATTTTGCTGTGTTTTTTGTTAGTTGTTGCTTTTGTTTGCTTGCAGTTGTTTTTTTCGAGTTTGCGTTTGTTCATTGTTGTTTTCGTGTTTGCGTTTGTTGGTTTTTGCTTTTGTATTTGCTAGTTTTTGTTTTTGGCTTTTGTTGTTTGTTTTTGCTTTTGTCTTTGTTAGTTTTTGCTGTTTGTTTGCTTTTGCGGTTGTTTGTTTGCTTGTTTTTTGGCTTTTTTTTTGCTTTTGTACTTCTTTCTTCTGTTTGTGTTGGTTTTTGCTTTCTTTTTGCTTGTGTACCTTTTTTGGCGTTAGTTTTTGATTTTTGCTTGTTTTTTTTGTTGTTTGTTGTTGCTTATGCTTTTTCTGCTTTGCCTTTTGTTTGTTTCCGCTTGTTGTTTCGCCTTTGTTCTTTGCCTTTTTTGTTTCGCTGTTGGTTGTGCGTGGAGCAGCCATCATGTTCCGCACTATTCTCAAAATTGTCCGCATGTTTGATACACATTCGTTCAAGTCTTTCAGCTTTTTTTGCCTTCTTTGCCATGTCTCCAACGTATCCGCACATTTGCACATGTCTTCTTTTGTGTTGTCCATGCTTTTTTTCCACCCGACTGTCCTCTTTCCCGACCGATTTGCCCCAAAAAGCAGCGAGCTGGGCTGAGGCTGAGCGGCAGCTTCTTCGCGCCCTACGCCACCATGATGCTCGCCTGTTGGAAGCGCCTGCCTGCGATGCCGCCTGGTCGAGATTTTTTCCGATCGATCGGTGTGGATGTGCCAAGACGAGGGGGACATGGTGGTTTTCCTTTTAGTCCTACACTCACCGGAAGAGGGTCTCAACAAACTTTGCTCACGAAGCCACCTTTGGGTTTCCCTATTTGTCAAACATTGGGTCCTTTTTGCACTCAGCCTAACAGTGTAGGACTGCTGGTATGCTTGACATCTCGTTGTCAAAACCTGACTTTTTCAGCTTCGGTTTCCTCTTGCTTGGTTGCCCAAAGGGGCCTTGGTGAGTTTCAACCCGGAAAGCGGTCGTCTTTTTTGCTTGGGAGTTTCTTTCCCCCCCGGGAATTGGAAACAGCTGGGGTTGGTTCCTCACGACGTCCCTCAACATCACCCCAAGGAAACCCCCATCTGGAACGACAGTTTTTTGCTGGGGATGGGGTTCCGGCCCAAACCTACTGCGTTGCGGTTACTTTACATTTTGCTTTTGCCATCTTTCACGTCAGACTGGGCGGTTTTCGCAGACCTCAAACAGTAAAGCAGCTCAATGTATTGAACGGGCTTCGGACCTTTTGGAAAGCGCCAGGTTCTGTTTCTAAGATCAGTTTGTGTCATTATTGTTTTGGATTAGTTTGTTCGACAACCATTGCGATGCAGCTTGTTTTCCCTGGACCTTTTGTTTGGAAACGCAAACACAACAAGAGACACCTCAAAAAAAAACACGGGTTCCAACCCCGACGACAAGAAACACCCCCACCAAAAAACGGGTTCCACGCCGCTGAAGACGGCCGATTCGACCGGAAAGGACCCGGTTGGGGCCCGTTTCGTAGGCTCCAGGCCTTCCGCGGCGGGTGCCTTGCCCCCAGCTACGACGAGGCCGGGGAGGACCTGGCGGACGCCATGGCGAGGCTCCACGTGCCGGAGGTGAAGTTCTTCTTCATCCCCAGGCAGGAGGTCTTGGCATGTTCTGAATTTCAATATGGGTTTGCATATTTTTTTGCCGTGTCAGTTCTTTAGTCTGCGTGGGAAGTGGGGCGTGGGCGTGCCATATCCCGAATCATACCCCGGACCATACCCCTGAGCCATACCCCGAGTCATACCCCCTAAAAAAACACCAAAAAAAGAGAGCCTTCAAGAACTGCTGCGTTTGCATGGTCGGTCATGGAGAAGCCTGACAGGGGTTGCTGGGCATGATATGTTTGATGACGGTCGCAGTTTTGGCTACACAGGGGGACCGCGCAGCCAATGGCTTTTGTTTGCAGGAGCAAGACTGTAAAGCTCCGGGTGGACGCCAACGTGCGCAAGAATAGCGAGCAGGCAGGCTCGCCCTGAAGCAGAGCGGCTTTTGGAGCATGTCGGGCGCATCCGGAGGCGACTTTGGCTCAGCTGAAGAGCTTGTGCAAGACGCGCAGAAAGGACCGTAGTTATGGACAAGCAGACGCTGTTTCCAGTAGTCCAGCTTCATTTTTTCGCTGAGCATCATGGAAAGGGGCGGCGTCAGCTTGCAGCGCTGGGGTGTCCGATTACGCACGCATGCGCGCAGGAAGAGCTGTGAAAGGCCTTGGAGGCTGGAGCAGAAGAGACTATGTCACTGGACCCTCCACCTAAGGGACTGTCGTATCACATCAAGGTGTTCGAGCCAGAACCAAGGCAGAGCCTTGACACGAGCGGAACAGACCTGCAACATTGAATACACGTAGGTCACGTCAGGGTGTGGAACTATGTCTTTTTGGACAGGCCGCCCGCAGGGAAGCCAGCGTCTTTCATTCGGCGCCTCTGATTGGGTGCGAGCGTCGCGTGGCCCAACGCTGCACAGAGGCATGGCGCAGGTCTTTTCGAGCGCAAGAACCTGAAAAGACACCTCAATGCGACTTTGCAGAGGCTTGCCAAGCAGAAGGCGTTTGCAGATGTTGCTGCGTTGGGAGCTGCCGAGATGCTTGGCACGTTTGTTTGCGCAAACGAGAGAGAGGCATGCCCGCGACAAACGCTAGGCTCTACGACAGAAACGGGTTTTGGCGGTAAATCTCAAAGAAGATTTTGAGTTTGGCATGAGTCAAAAATGGTTTCGTGGCACCGGAAGTGTGGACCGCTCTGCCTGTGGGCAGCCCTGTGGGCCTGGCGCTGGTTCGTGCTTGGTGCGGGTCTCTGAGCACCACGCGGGGCGTTGAACTCCAACTGGAGGAGGCAATGGCGTTTGCCTCAGGCAAGTGACCCCGGACCATTCCCCGAACCATACCCCAAAATACCTGCGCTTCGTACGGGACGGGCGCGTCAAACAAATACATACCCATATAGTATAAGTATGTAAGTTAATCAAATAATACATAGGAAATTCCGACACATACACATACATGAGCAAACCATACATAACTACATACTTACTCAGGTAATTTGCAGGCAATATAAATAAATAAATATATATAGATATTTATGTATAAAGATGTATACATTGCGTTTGTGTGTGGCTTGTTTTTTGAGCGTACTCGATTTGTTGGATTGTCTCAAGGGGAAACCTTAAAGGGAAGCCACATACTTTTGGCGTTTTTGTGCTGATCAGGGTTCCATGTACTTCCCTGCGGTGGGAAACATCACCTTTTTTGGGGATCTCTTTCAGAATAGTTTTGACTTTAAGATTCGCTAAAAAAATCAAGAGGATTGTTGTTTAGCTTCGTTGGGGCGGGGGGCAAGGTTTGGTAGGGTTTGAGGTTTGTTAGGTGTTGGAAGGTTTGGCAGGGTTTTGTAGGGTTTATTGGGGTTTTGCAGGGTTCTTTTGGACTTGGCAAAGTTTGGATGTGTTTTGTCGGTTTTGTCGGTTTTTCAAGACATGGTAAGGTTTGGCGCATGCCTCATGCAGTGCCTCTCGGCAGGGCACTGCCGGTGATCCAGGAGGGATCTCTGCTGCAGCGCCTGCACAACGAGGCGCGAGAGAAACGGATTCGCTGGGGTGTCGGTGTCGGTCGGGTTTTTGGGTTGGATGAGTGGGAAGTGCAGAGGTGGACTTTTTAGGTCAGTTTGGTTTGAAATAGATGGGTTCCACTGGCTTAGATGGGTTTATGACGCATTAAATTGATGGGTTCCACTGGTTTAGATGGTTTTATGCCCATCACTCAGGAAAACCAATCTATTTTTCCAAAAGGTAACCTATGAGGAAGTGTGTGTGTGTGAACACAGGGAACTCCCAAAACCGGCGGTTCATGTTGGTTTCCCTTTTCCAGAGACCCAGTACTTCCACTTATGGTAGGTTTCCGCGAGACCATGTGAAAAACTAGAAGCAAACGCTCCCACCACCTCTCGTTGGGCGGAAGAGCTCTAGAAAATTACCGCGAGGGAAGGGCAAGAGCAAAGAGACCCATTCCTTTCCTTTCACTTGTTCATCCAAAGGGAATGCCATCCGGACGATGTTTGGTGCTTGTTGAGCCCCACTCAAAGCAGCACCATCCCGGATCACTGCCCTCTAAATGAATTTTGGGTCGACATCGCTTCTCCTGAAGTGGGTTTGTCTCAAAATAAAGGGAAGAACCATTTTGAAGTGGTTTCTTTTTGGCTGCCTTGGCACACGTCCAAACCGGTACCAACTCCCAACAAAGCATGGCCACAATCAAAACCTGGTAGCTGAAGGGCGGTTTAAAGGGTGCCCATTCTTTGGTCGGTTTGAAGAGACAACCGCCAAAAAGATACCAAATACAGGAACTCGTTGTTTCAAGTTGGCTTCCCTCACCGACCAAGGAGTGTCGCTCAACAAAACAGTTACTAATTCCCAGGTGGGTATGTGTCAATATAGTGGAACCCTTAAAATGGTTTGCGGTCTCATTTTTTCTCTCAAAAAAGACATCCCCCCCATGGGACGGAAATTCGGTTTCTCGTGAATATGGCCTTGATGTCCTGCAACAGACGCAAACTCCCAAGTGAGACCAGATTGGCCATCTTAGGTGGTTTTGCCTGGTTCAATTTGGGGTTAGAGTAAAGCTTCCATCAACCGCCGTGCAATTTCCCATGATAATGCTGGCAATCCAAAAAATCAGCCAATTCCCATGCTGCCTGCTTTAATTGGGATAGTGTCGCCAACCCACGCTTTTGTTCAAAAAGGTCCGCTCCTCCTTACACGACGAAGGCGTCCGAAGGCGTCCGAAGGCGTCCGAAGGCGTCCGAAGGCGTCCGAAGGCGTCCGAAGGCGTCCGAAGGCGTCCGTCCGAAGGCGTCCGAAGGCGTCCAAAGGCCCTCGGCCTCGCATCTCGAGGCGCTGCTCTGCGCGGACATCGGCTGCAGCGGCGCGGACTGCACGCTGGAGCTGGCAAGGGCCTTCCCGAGGAGCCGCTTCCACGCCTACGAGGCAATCGAGAACCGAGCGGAAGCGAGCGTAGGATCGAGCGGAGTGCGAGCGGTTGGGGTTTGTTGGGGAGCCAAGTGTGGCTTGGGGTGGGGAAACCCTGGGGGTGTTTTTAGGTGGGGAAATATGAAGAACCCTGTCCGAAAGTCCAACAGTCGCAAGAGAATTCTTGCAACTTGTCTGTTTGATGATATTTCGAGTTTCCGTGCGATTTCTCTTTAAATTCCACCCAAAAACGGGTACCGTCACAAAAAGACACGCCCCCATAGAGAGCCCAGTTGTTTTTGACTCTGTTGGTGCCTGCGGTGTGAACAGGTGGCGGATCCAGCCTTGGCGCGGGCGCGGGACAATGTGAAGCACACAGGCCCGGCGTGTCCCCCCCCCACCCGCATTGTGTGTCCCACGACAAGGGCCTAAACAATGGGGTTGTGGGGCAATTTCTAGTCTCGAGTGGCGACGATGGTAGCAAACTATTCAATTGCGTATATGGCCGTTGTGCATGTTTTCTGCTCTTATGGCCCCGGTGGTTTGGTGGTTTGGGATTTGAACCCCAGCTTCTTGTTCATGGTAGATTGGACACCACCCCAAACCAGCAAAACACCAAGCCACAAATCCAAACCACGAATAAGAGCGGGTTGAACCCTGCATGTTCAAAGATTTCCAGCTTTCTTGTTGGCGAAACCTTGCAAGGAGAGTGTTACAGGCACAGACACACAGACATAAAGACACGCAGACACACAGACACGCAGACAGACAGACAGACACACAGACACACAGACACACAGGCACACAGGCACACAGACACACAGACACACTTGCGCCACCTCCAGGTGTGCAAAGGTGTTTGTTGCATCTTCTCTTCAACAGCCCTGCTTTCAATGGTACGACCGCCAAACTTGGGCTTGGTAGGGATGGTCAATGGTCATCGACCCTTCTTTTGGGGTTCTTAGACAACTGAGTTGGGGTCCTTTCCAAAAACCATCGTCACGGCATGTACCATGGGACACGTGGGTGGCACTCGTCTTTGATCATTCAGACACCCAAATGCGTGGGTTCCTTTGGATATCCCTTACCACCACCAAAGATTGGGCGCTCCGAGTTGCTGGACTTGAAATTTTCTGGGAAGATAATCTTAGTGGAAAAACGGAAACATGTGTCTTTTTGCCCATCCACTCAAGAAGTCAATCTCAAAAAGGGGATTTCGCTTTGAGGTTGCCCTGCGGTTCCCCTAAACGGTTTCCAAATCTTGGTTGAAATGACCGAACCGTTCAAATGGCGCTCCAGCTTCTTGCAGGACCTTTGTCTTTTGTGTGTTCCTTCCGCGACGGGTCCTTCCGACTTTCATCCCTTGCAGGGTTGCAGGACAGGTAACTTCTGTGATACCCTTCCTTGTTGTCATGGCACCCAAGGCACCAACCAGCCCACCAACCAAACAAACAACCAATTAACCACTTAATCCACCCTTCCATCCTCCCTCCCCTCCCTCCCTCACTCCCTCCCGCCCGCCCGCCCGCCCTCCCTCCCTCCCTCCCTCCCTCCCTCCCTCCCTCCCTCCTCCTCCCTCCCTCCCTCCCTCCCTCCCTCCTCCCTCCCTCCCTCCCTCCCTCCCTCCCCCTCCCTCCCTCCCTCCCCTCCTTCCCCTCCTCCCCTCCTCCCTCCCTCCCTCCCTCCCCTCCCCCTCCCTCCCTCTCCCACCCACCCGAAGAACGGCCGCTTGCGCCCGCCAGGCTTAAAGAACCTATTCGTGGAAGACGCAAAGGTCCAGCCCGTCGGCCAGGGCGCACCTGGCGGGAATAAGTTCGATTTCGTGATGTGCCACTCGCCCGAAGACGGGGAACACCGGCCGCTTTTGTAGGATTCCAACCCCCCTCCCCGCAGGAAGGCCCCTTGCCCCAGTGATCCAGCAAGAGTTGGACCAAAGTGGTTGGCATGACTCCCCACCGAATTCTGAGGTCCACCAAAGCTTCCGGGATGCAACTCACAGCTTCTGGAGCCTGATTCCATGGGTTCTAATGAATAATATGTTTACGATCGTGTGCAGCTAGCCCAGAGCCTCCTCAGCGATGTGACCTTGAATAAAGGAATGAAGTACGATGTTTGCAGAACCGACCAATCTCTCGTTCCCCTGCTCTTTGTGCATCGAAGCCTGGGGCTGTGTGTTTCCGTTTAGAATAGCTCTAAACAGGGCTGAGGGGAATGAAGAAACCCGAGTGAGCTTGCCACTTTCACAGCTTTGCCGTGCAGCTCTCAAGAAATTCGATTTTGAATTTCCCCTATGTTAACGTTCGCTTCCTTGCGATGTTTGTTTTGAAGGGACAGGCGGGCAAAGCGGCTGAATTCGACCGTTTCATTACTTGCCTCGAAGGTTCGGGGTTCCGCCCGTGGTTTGTTCCAGCCACTGTATGGGGGGTGAATGTGACCATAGTTCGTTGGTGTCCTTTTAGGTCAGTTGGAGTAAAAATGGCTGGCTGCAGCTGGCTGTTGCTGCCTATAGCTGGCTTCTAGTTTCGATTCGGCCAAAAGAATGCCTGGGCTTATGACCGGCACATGAGGTTTCGTTTTGTGTGTGCTCAGTGAGATTCTGTGATTCGCAAGTATAGTTTTTCAGTCTTAAATGATCTCCAAAACACGTTTCATTCCAGTTTTGGCAAGGCCCAGGTTTTTGTCTAATCCAAACGAGTCGCCGATCAAATCTCCCAGTGCTTTGTCATTCGCAAGGCAGTCGTTCAGTGGCACCTTTGTCCTTTTTCTGGATTTTCCACTCAGACAGTCAACCCCAGAAACGGGTTACCAGTGACCCTAGGCCACTGGGTCGCCTGGATGCGATTAAATCAGCTTAGTAAATCCATTGCCAGGCCATACCCTCACACTTTCAGATTTTCAGAGCTCGGGATGTATCACGTCTCCCACAAGTGGCACATCTTTAGCCAGAGATCTTCCGCAGCGCTTTGCAAACGCGTGCGCATGGCCGAGGGCCTGGGCCGGCTTGTGACCCGTCTTTCGGTGTGCCCTTCAAACACATACTACGGGCGACACAAAAAGACACACACCCTGGTGGAAGACCAGTCTTGGTTGGCAGCCAGGTTTGTCATGGTGCCGAACATGACTCTTTGCGAAAATGGGGAGCCCCATTTGCAGTTTTGTTGGGCAAATGGCAGGAGGTTTGCCGCGAACTCATGCGGAAGGGACCATTTTCTGAGGGCCCCCTTTTTGTTACAACGATGCCAGATCAATCTACATCTACTATCATCAAGCAGGAGGTGTCTCATCCTTGAGCCTTTTGTGTTTTGCATGTCCGTTTGGGTTCCTGTGGTTCCTTTTGCGCTGGGCCCTTTTTCTGTTTATCGTTTGTTTGTTTGTTTGTTTGTCTGTCTGTCTGTCTGTCTGTCTGTCTGTTTATTTGGTAGTCAGTCAGGCAGTCGGTCAGCCAGTCAGTTAGTTCGCCGGTTTTTGCTGGCTCACTCGGCGCTCGGTCGCTCCGTCGGGTACGGGCGAGGCTACGACGTGCTCCACGACTTGGCGGATCCCGAGCAGCTGATCCGGGAGGTGCGGAGCGTGCTGGCCGATGAGGGCGTGTGGGTGATCGTGGACATCGCCTCCCATGGAGCCGAAATCGACCTGCCGAGTCGTTTTTTGATTTTTTTTCAGGATGCGCAATATCAAGGGGCAATGTCCCTTTCATGTGAGATATTCTGATCTTTGTTCTCAAAGTCTCCCAGCTTGCAGGTTTCATGTTGGTCTTCCTTTAAAACCACCAAACCAATCAATTACACTCAAATTGGGTTTGGGCTTTCGTCTTTCGGGTTTACTTGGGGATGTTATTGGGATCTTGTGGTTTTTGTTCGACTTCCGGATGGGCGGAACCCGCCCCCAAGCGGAAATTCTTCCCTGACCCTCTCTGGTGGCCTGGTTAGCACCCCATGGTAACCCTCTGCCCCTTTGCTGGTAACCTTCCCTGGCTTGGCAACCGGCCCCTGGAAAACCCCTAGTGACACGGTGACCCCCGTGATGAGTTTCCGGGTTCTGAGGGACCAAATCACCATGCAGGTCTGAATCTTCCCCATTTTTGTCGGGCCAGGAAGCCTCGGGTTTGCCCAGATGAACGGTTTGAATCTAACAGTCAGGTCCGATGAGCCAAACAGTGCAGGCAATCCATATATGGCAAAGTGTTTTTGGCAAAGAAGCAAATCACCAAAACCAACATGGGTAATCAACACTGGAAGCGGGCTTTATGCAAGCTCACCTGTCGACTTAAAGGAGCACGGATCCTCGCTTGCACGGCGTGCGAGGGAGATCAATTTCTTGGAAACAGAATGGAGAAATCCCTCCGTATACAGCAACACAAGGCTCTCGAACCCATACATGGGCTTCACTTAAACATGGCCCATGGGAGCCCCGAGAGGGACAGGTAGGGTGTGTCTTCTTCGGAGCTGGTACTCCTATTTTGGCGGTCTTAAAAGCAGAACCAGAAGGAACGCCGCCCTTTTGGGGGCTCCGACTCCGAAGTGAAGACAAGGGTTTTTCCCCAACAGCTGAAAGCTTTGGGGTCTCAGCCCAAGCCTCTCCGGGGTGGTCCGGGGCGGTAAGGTTCCACGAGGGTTTCACCAGGGTTCCACCAAGGTTCCACGAGGGTTCCACGAGGGTTCCACGACAGTTCCACGCGGTTCTGCAAGGGCTGCAGGGTGGTGCGAGCACTAAAAAGAGCACCGCATGCTGTTGGGGATAGAGCTTCTTTCTTCTTTTTTAGGGGTCATTCCAAATCTCATTCCCTACCTATCGAACCCCTTTCCAGTCTAAGCCTCGCGAAGGCCGGTTTGGAGCAATCCGTTATTTTAAGGATTTGCCGTCGATCTCCGGTTATTCCCAACACGTCTCGGTCATTCCCTACCTATCGCACCAGCAAATTGAAACTCAACCAGAAGGATTCCCATTTGCTGCTGTTCGTTGCTTCGTGTTTCTCCTGTTTCGGGTGGGTGGCGTAAAGCGGCTTGTGCATCCATAGCGTGGAGGGCTTTGGCCAAGTTTCTGTAGTACCATTTGGGGGATTCGCGGCACAAAATGATCAAGTCGCCAGAAGCAAAGGTATTCCCACACGGCGTCACATGCGGGGCCGGCCACTAAAAAGCAGACGTGTCCTGGTTCGCCTGGTTGTGTGGGACCCTCCAGTGCTGTGTCCAAACTCTAGGCCCTTTGAAAACCGGCTCATCAACGCAGCGCAAGGTAGGCGTTTTAGCCCTATATAGACATTCTGTGGGGTAATATGTGTGTAAGTCTACCTTAGGCATGCTTGCTCAGATGACCCAAACCCATCGGTTTCGCTGCTCAAGAACCATTGGTCGGTTTTCCTTGCGCCGATCGGGTTGTCGTGATTACTTTCTGATCATGACCAAAGTTCCACCGACCCATTTTGATTATTTTGGGCCCGCATAGTTTGCAGAACCCTTAATGGCGCTGATGGCGCCCCCCCCCCCCCTTGCAGACCCGGCAAGGAGACATGGCGGCCAACATCCAGCAGCATCAGAAGGCCCCCTTCAGTACCGCCTTTGCACGCTGTGGTTGTTCTTTTGGCACGTGGCAACTTTTATATCGGCAATTTGCCCAACAAAGCTTTAGCTATTGAAAAGGGCGGCTTCCCGCTTGAGCCGGCAAAGACTTAGAACTTTGTTGTTGGAAGGCTTTGGCCTGGTTTTCTCCAAGAATGACTTTATAAGGCCGTAGGGTGTTACTTTGGGGAAGTGGTGGATGGGTGGGAGAGGATGGAATCCTATAACAAGAGCGACATCTTTGGGATCTTTGGGGCTAAGGTTGGTTCCTGGAGGATTCCGATGGCTGTTGGTTTGGCATCAGGGGACTTGGTTGCGCCGGAACCGGCAACCGGCAGAGTTGGGCTTATCGAAGCTATGAGGTTTGGTCAACATGTCCTGATTTGTCTATGGTTCATTTGAGACGAGAAAGGGAGACTCGCGAAATGTTCTGAGAATAAAGAAACAAGGTACACGCCCCAAGTTTCTCACGAGGAAACCTGTGGTAATGTTGAGCGCGATGCCGACCCAGAGACTCGTCACTCCAAAGACGATACGACTTTTTGGGATTCCAAAATGGTGCAGCCCAAAACCACCGGGGGCTAAAACCCTTATGTAATGGTTCTACAATGGTTATACGCTCCATCTTCCGCTTGCCAGGTGGTATTCAGGGGCTGGAACTCCTGGACGGTGCCAACACATAAACGGTTTACCCCTTTTTGGAGATGCATGGATCAAAGGCCCATGCCAATGGTTTTGTTTTGTGTTTGCTTGCTGGTTTGTTTGCCTGCCTGCTGCCTATCTGCCTGCCTGCTTGCCTGCCTGCTTGCCTGCCTGCTTGCCTGCCTGCCTGCCCGCCTGCTTGCTTGCTTGCTTGCTTGCTTGCTTGCTTGCTTGATCGCTCGGTTGCTTGCTTGCTTGGAATGGAGAAGCCGGGGTGTGCAACTGCATGTACACCAACAAAACGAGGCCAGCTGCGCCAACTTCCGACGTTTGACCACTTGTGGGTACATGTTGAGGGTATTGGCTTGAAACCCAGTCATTCGTAACTCGATGGTTCCAGCCATCATACCCTCCGTGATGTGTATTTGTGTGGAGCATAGCCCGGGATAGATGACATATCACAGCGTAACTTTCGGCATGGGATCGCCGCTAAGGTTTGTTGAGTCACGAGCCGACGAATCGACTTTTTGGAGAACCGATCCTTCCTGGTTCAACCAACACTCACTCCCCGAGTTCCTGGACTGTAGTCACTTTTCGGCATGAGCATGAGACACGCCTCGACCTCTCCAATCCGGCGCTTCTTTTTGTTCTGAGATTTGTGTATTTCTTTCTTTCTTGTTTGTGGAGGGGCGGGGAGGCACGGCCCCTTTAGCATGATAAGTTTCTGGGTGGCGATATTTCTCAAGCTCAGCACCAAATAGCCCGCAGTTGTTGTTTGGTTTCCCCAAAGGGAGATCAACCACGAGCATGGGCAATAGTCTAGTTTTTGGAGACCGCTTGCTCCAAGAACCACCCAAAACGGCGGACGCACGGTCGCTTTTTTGTGGCTTCGAGCGACTCCAGGCGCCCACCTACTACGGCATCTCGGTATGCGTGTGTCTGGCCTCGGGCTTGTCCACCGCCAACGGCGCGGGCCTGGGCACGCTGGGCTTCCCCCCGGAGGTGGCGGAGCCCATGTTCCGGCAGAACGGGTTCTCACGGGTCAGGAGGGGGATGGGCTCCCAAGGGGGGTGGCGCGGCTTTTTATCCGGGCGCTTCGGAGAGCCCCAGGTTCCAAAGGGGTGACACGGCCTTTGTTTTTCATGAGCTTCGGAGCCCCAGCGTGGAAATCGGCTGTCCTGGCGTTCCTTTAAAGCCAAGAAAGGGTTACCCTCAAGGAAAGACACACCTGTAGCCCACATCCACCCTCGTTTAACGGTCTCTCTTGAATTTGTAGCATCTTTTTTGCATTTCGATATTTGTTTGCGGGGCAGTTTGGCTGAGGTAGTGAACGTCCTGCATTGGTGTCCTTTGAGTTTGGCTGAACATCGATGGAACTTCCATTTGGTTCTTACCATTTACTAGTAGAATCGATTGTCCAAGACCACACCTAGGGCTGCACCTTGGGGTTAGCCCCAATTCGCTGGAAACCAATTCCATAGGTGTCCGTTTTAGGTGAGTTTGGGGAGAAATAGATGAGTTCGACTGGCATAGATGGATGTGACGCAATCCATTTACCTATGGCCAATTCCCTTTTCGGCAGCGAAGGTGCCCCTCTTCGGGCCCGAGCCGGGACGGAAATTGGTGCGGGTTCCGGTGGCGGGGGTCTGTGTAAAAGGAGGAGAATCCAAAGGAAACCAAAAGCAGAGACTCAAGAGGAGAGCCTCAAAATTCAAAATCGAGGGAAAAAGCCACGGGTCCCGAAGGTGCCAACATGTGCCTTTTTTTGGCCCTTGCCTGGTGGCCCCAGATTGAATAACCTAGAGGACTGTATGAATAGGCGGGCTTGCCGACTGTTTTGGGGGGAATTCCTGGGATTGGTGCGGTTCTCCGGGGTCCGGAGAGGAAACAGGAGCAATCCGAAGCCAACATAAATAAGGATTCCTTGGCTTCACTGGTTTTGCCATTCGTTAAAGAAAACACGTGTTTTACCCTTGTTGGCTCTGTTTTATAGAAGGGGGCTGCAAAAAGCCGAGTTTTTTGTACATACCAAGGGTTGGACAGGTTGGGAAACCGCAAAGGAGAGAAGCAAAAATTGGTCCTCCAGGTATCTTCCCTCAAAATTAACCACCCCAAACGTACAGTGTTTTGCTGATTGCAGAGGGAGCAAATCGCAGGGATCTGGGAGCTACTGCCCCAAACCCCTGCCCGCAATCAGCATCCCTGCCACTTTGTTTCTGTAATTCAAGAAGCAGTGCAAACGCGACATGTTTGAAAACGTCCAACATGGTTGCGAGGTGATTGAAGTTGGCCTTTACCGCATCCAGAGGGTTTCCGCACTTTTGGTGCCGTATGTTCTTCCAAAACGGGGAGCCCAACGGCAAACCCTGGTTCAAAGTTGGTCTCCTTTTTGGCTTCCCGGTAGAGCCATGCCCAAGAACAGGTTTCGCTGTGAAATACCGGGCTCCCTTTGGTTTCAACAGCATGGTGCCATGGAGGTTGTTTGAACCAGAGTCCAAATGTGCTTCAACCTTTCAATATGGAGGGTTTCCCGTTGGCCCCCCCCCCTAGGGAAACATAGTCTTTGACTCAGTTGTCCAAAGCCGCCTTTTTATCCTTTTGGTTTTCCCATGCTGGTACGTTTTTAGTCAAGGTCCCAAGAGGCGATCAACTTTTTTTTTCCAGGTCCTTTGGGCAAGTGAGTTGATGTTGGGAACGGTGGGAAGCCCTCTCAACACAATCCCCCGGTCCCCCGGTCCCTTGCTTTTCCGCGAGGAGCTTTAAGATGCCGGGCCTGGAGAAGAACCAATGCTACGAGCTGCAGATCTGACCCACTCGCGCGGGGAAAAAGAAAGGCCCGCCGAAGCCGAGCGGTGTCCGGTGCAGGGCAGATGAACAGATGCCGACTGAGGCCGGCGCAAAACAAAAGGCGCCCAACTGCCAGCCGATCCTCTGCCGACTCATTCAACTTATTCTTTCGGGCAGCTTTTTTTTTTCTTCCCCTAACGGCTGGAAGCTTTGGGGCAGCCCGGATAGGCTTCGGGGTGGTGCGGGGCGGCCCTGAGGTAAGGTTCCACGAGATTTCCGCCAGGGTTCCACCAGGGTTCCACGAGGTTCTGCGAGGGCTGCGGGGTGGTGTTGGGGATATCACCTGAGCTTATTTGATCTTCACGTTGGACATCGGGATTTGGGCCCCTGTCCCGTGATGCCTCAGGGAATGCTAAGCCATGACTAGGGAGACTTGACCATACGTTTTGTCAGAAGTACTTGGGCCAACAACCTCGAGGGATTTGCACGATGAGGCTTCCTTCAGTTGGAATCCCCCATTTTTCAGTGCTGAATTGTCACATTTTACCCAGTTGGGCGCTTCTTTTTGTGTTTGCACCACCTAACATGACTGAGTTTCATGGCACCCACGAGAAAACCCTATAGCCTATATCGTACTTTTGCTTCTACGAGGTTTAGTCAGCGATTCCGGTAGTGTAAGGCCTCTGCGAAGGTCTCTGAAATCAAAGCACCTCAAACGACAAAATGTTTGTTGCTTTCCTTTATCCGGAGGGATTCCGCCCAACAGTTGATCCAGATGATGTTCCAGATGGTTAAGGGACCATGTGGACAACCATTTGGATTGACTTTTGGCCAGAATCCCAGTGGATTTTCCTGCTCCCAGTTGCTTTTGTTCAGGGTTCCCAATATTTCTCGGGGAAGCCTTTGTTGGTGGTTTGGATTGGTGGTTTGGGGATTTAAACTTCTGGTTCTTGCAGAGGGTAAGTGGGAAAATTATCATCCGCCAAACCACCGGACTCCAAACCACCAATTAAAGGGAAGCTGAGTCCCTTCTATGACTTGTACAAGCAAGCAGACACACAAACACAAACGCCTGGATTCCACCAAACCACCAAACCACCAAACCACCAATCCCAGCCCTTTTGGGGGAAGCCCTGGTTCTTCAAAAGCCGCCTTTTGGGTTGGCGCGATGACCACGCTCCGAGGCGTGGTGTTGGCGGTGGAGCGCCGCGCCACCCCGAAGCTGCAGGATCCCAGGACGGCCTTACGACTCAGCCTCGTAGGGAGGAGCAAGGAGAGGCCCCCGTGTCTTTTTTTTTTTGCCTTTTTGGAGCTTTCCTTTTTGTGGGTTTGAGGGAAAGCCCAAAGGAAAACCGAAAAATCCATGTTGAAGATTCGAATCCTTAAAAAGAGACACCCGTTTATCAAGGGAGCCAGGGCACGGATCTTCAGCTATGTCCGTTCAAGTCTTAAAACTGGTTGACTTTAATCGGGGGGGGGTCGCCTTGTCAAAGTTCAGATCACTTTTGGAGGGAGCACCCTATTGATAGACCTGGGCTCTAGATCGGGGTCAGCATTCTGCAGTCTTGTAGGCTTGGTATCCATTCTGGAGATCCGACCGTTTGGGTCAAAACTTCGGATCTCCCCTCCCAGAGAGGGAGCCAGTACTCGTGAGCCAACCGTTGAATCAAACAAATGTGGCCCATGGTGTGTGCCCAAATGGGTGCATGGCCCAAATGCTTTCCTTCAACCCTCCTGAGAATTCTTGCTTGGATAAAGACATTCCCCAAGTAAAAACACTTAAGCAGGAAAACTTGGAAGTTTGACCCATCTCATGAGAAAGTTGTGGTGGCTATCCTATCATCACACCCAGAGGGCCTAGCCCACTCCCTCCCCCTTTCCCCACAAGACTCTTATGCCCGTTTCTGGGTCATTTTGACGGTTTCTGGGCGGTTGGTTGTTCCCTTCAAGCTACCACTCTGCGGGTGACTTTGATGATGGTAAAGCAATGAGGCCAGTATCTGGCCTATTTGAGGGAAGCAGAGTGAGGGCAGGAGTGATTCTGGCTTTAACTTGACTGAGCTGGGCATCTGTCTTTTGATTTCTTCAGTCGTCTCTTTGATTCTGATTCCAAGTTGCCTTGGACCCAGAGGTTGTGGGAAGGGAATTCTTGGGGGGCTTGCGCGGGCTAGGGGCCCAAAATGGCCACGAGGCATCCGGACAGATCAAAGAGGCAATTGCGATACGGCCCAAAAAGCTTTTGGTTTGGGGGGGGGGGGGGCAAGAGGCGCTTTGGGGCGAGAAGGGTCGGTACTTCACTCCACTGTCCTTGTCAATTTGTGTGCTTTGCGTGGTCTTCAGTGAGCATGTCTGGGGGGAAGAAAGTGTCGTTTTCTTTGCTAGCTCACCAAGGGCTAAGAAAGAGTTCTTGGTACGCGTCTCACTTTTGTTACTTGCTCATAGTTTTTTTAGCAGGACTTTCTTCAGCTCGGTTGCTTTCCAACAGCAGGCCAAAAGAAGAGTTGCAACTGCATCCTTGCATTTTGGTTCCCCCTCTTTCGGGCACCGAACGAAATGAACATGGCAGGACTATTCGAAAGATCCTGGTGGTGGATGACAACATCGCGCTCACCTTCGCAGGCGAGACCCGAATCAAATTGACCCATGGTCTTTGGATCCAATTCAAGACCCGAGGCCAACCGTTTTCGGCGCACGCCTGTCCACCCAAGCCCCTTCCCCCCTTCCCCCCTTTCCCCCTTCCCCGCTTCCAAACTTCCCCCCTTTCCCTTTCCCCGCTGCCCCCCTTCCCCGCTTCCCCCCTTCCCCGCTTCCCCCCTTCCCCGCTTCCCCCCTTCCCCGCTCCCCCCCCCCCCCCCGGCTTTGGGGCTTTCGCGGCGGAAAGCTGCTAGTTGTCCGGTCGGGAAAGGGCTCTGTTTGATCAAGCGAGTTGGGGTTCCATCGGAGTCGATTAATTAGTAACAAACCCGGTCTTGAGGCCAGGGGGTCCATGTTAGCGGGCTCCGTGAATTCGGTTCTCCACGGAGCCCCGAAACAAAAAGGCGCCAGTTGGCCGGATCGCCTTGTCATTTCCGGTTTGAAGAACCTTGAGTGCCGAGGTTTTAGAATGATGATGTTGACTAATTGTGACTTTTTGAGCTGAGCATCACGCCAGCTTGGCGGAACCTAAAAGTAAGAGCGGCTCTCAACTGGCTTTGGAGAAGCAGAAACCTTGCTGCCCCACATGCTACCTGGCCCAAACTCATGTTTTCGGATTTGTTTGGAAGACACACACACACACACAGACACGGGCGTCACACAATCATAACTCGATTGTGAGTGGCTTCCCTCCGCGTCCCACCCTAAGGGAAGCTCGGATTAGGATTGCAACACCCCCCTGTTTGGGTTCCTTTTCTCTTTGCTGGGATGTTTGCCAGATCCGGGAGAAATGGAGCCTGAGATCACGAAATTATTATTGTTGTCATTATCGTGATTATTGTTTTTTTCTATTATGATTGTTACGTATGATTGTTATTATTGTATCCCAACAAGTTTCCTGGGCAGCGTTTGGTTCCCCCAAATCAGGACCCTCAGGGTATGAATAGCGATTTGGGAGGCTGCCTATTCTCCGAAACGCGCATGCCACACAATGGCCCGGCAGGCATCTTATGGTAGGCTCCCCAAAAACATGAATCAGTGGGAGCATGTCAAGCAAATGCTGCATGACATGGGCCCTGAAATTCGTTAGGATACAACCCTCTTTGTTTGGGCTAGAAAAGCCCAACCCCTCTATTGGCACTGGCTTTTTTATGCCTTTGCCACTGTGTAAGGCAGGATTCACTTCTCGGAAGTGGTGGGAAGGATTTTTTTATCGTGGTTTGCTCTGCAGATTCATCGAGCGCCCCCGGACTTCCACAGATCCACTAGCCATAGACCAAACTTGTTTCAACCGGCTCCTGGTCCCCTTTTATATATTTGAAAGAAACACCAAGTGGAGGCTGTTCAAACAATATTGATGGCTAAATACTTACACGCATGATGTTTCCTTTTGTCATGACTCAGTGTGGTCTAGTACCTCACAACCCATTCCGATTTCGGGGTTTCCTCCAATTCCCTTTTTGGAACCTCCAAAGCTGGCAGGTTCAGTGGAAGCCAAGAGGAAATCCAGTGACCGCTGAATTATGGCCTCACGACCGCGGCCGATTCCCGCGCATCAGGCCTGAATGCAGATGCCCGAGTGCTCGTGAACAAGACACGAGTGGAATGCCAGTCCTACCGACTGAACGTGGAGGACCGGGACCTTAGCCTCGCGGAAGAATGCGGACTGGAGACGGCCCCATTCTTCCACTTGCCGAATTTGAATATTTGTTTGTTTTTTTTGATTTCGCTACTGGACATTTCCGGCTTTTCCAGGCGAAAAAAAACACACACAGAAGCACTTGAGCATTAAGTGTGGGCTCCCTGACAGTGACTTTGACTTAAGTGGCTTGCTTTGGTGGCGACGTGGGCTGGCTTGCCCGTTTGGAGCTGCTCCGGAGAACCGATCCCTAAAGCACCAATCCAATAGCCGTTACGGCGTGTTGGGACCCGAGTTTTTGTTGTTGTCATGCTTTTTGTGTTATGCTTGTTTTTTGTTTTTGGGTTTGTTGGGGGGTGGGCCAGGTCCCGTTCAAGACCTTTGGTCCAAGGCTGAGCCTTTGCACATCGGTCCATGGGACTGGGCGAAGGGCCCGCAGGCCAGACTCACGTGGCAGAATCACATGTTGGCTTCGCATGAAACAGCTGCAAAGAAAAAGAGGCTTCTCTGGAGAGACTTTGTTCTACCTTGTAAGCCAAAGAGTTGAACCACAAGGGAATCAACGAACCCCAAGCAGCTAGCTCATGCGCATGTGGCTCTTGTGAATCAGTTGGGGTGATCCCTCGTGAATCATCCCTACAAAACTTGTCTGGCCCGCTTAAATCAATTCCCGAGATCCACCTAAGAAGCTCGAGGTTGAAATTCTTTAGACCCCTAGATTGCTTTTGGCAGAGTTTACACCGATACTGAGTGATGACAAAAAAGAAAAGAGCCACATGGGCAACAAAGACGGAAGCTGATTGACCGCCAAGCGGACGCCATGCGCCGCCTATGGCCC